ATTTTGGCACTTTGCGACCCTCGAAATAAATTAATAGCACTTTGCACCCCTCGAAATACAATAAATCATGCATAATGCACCCCAAATGAATTTTTAAAGCTAAAAAATATAAATCTAATATTTTTAGTGATATTTTTTTAGAACGCCAAATGTCAAATATTTTTTTTATTCATCAATCATTTTGAAACTATAAAGTTTAAGAATAAAAATACATTTCATCAACATATTTAAAAATTATATTTTTTATCAAAATAAAATATTTTACGAAAAAAAATCATTCAGCTATTCCGTTATCAAGTTATCTGAAAATCATATTTCCTTCTAAATATTTTCACCTAATATTTTTAAACAGTTACATAAAAGATCCATTAATCGAATAATTTAGTGATAAAAGCTTATTTTTTATTTTTCTTTTGTAAGAAAATGTAGTTTTTTTTAATACTCCGGTGTAATTTTTATTTTTTCGCACTTTGTCCGCTCGAAATTAGGTTTGAAGTTCAAGAAAATAACAATTTTTTTTTTATTTTGTACTCGGAAAATAAAAACACCAATGAAAAATGAAATTGCCTTTATTATTCAATTGAGGGTGCATTGTGAATGATTTATTGTGTTTTGAGGGTGCAAAGTGCTATTATTATTTTTCGAGGGTGCAAAGTGCCAAAATGGTATATTTGAAGGGTGCAAAGTGGAATTAAGCCAATTAAGAAGTAACTTAGAATACATAATGAGTGACACTCTGCAGCTGATCTCAGATTTAATTAAATAAATAGGTCTCTTAAGGCCGAGATTAAGCATTTTAGAATTTAGATTAAAATTAAATTTAGGATTTAAAAAAATGTAATTTAATATTAGAGTTTCAATAATTAAATTTAATATTATAATAGTACACAACTATTGCGAAAAAAGTAAAGCAGATTCCCTAGATGTGCAAAAAATAATGAATTGAAATAGAATTATTATAGCAATTGAGTACCCAAAAAGGCTAAAGTATTATAAAGAAAAAAATGGCTGCTACATGGAAAAAAAGTAATATATGAGACAAAATAATTAATTAATATATAAAAGGTGGAAGACATGATCTGATATGGTGGGCCCCAAACAGGAGGCTTGAAATTAATTGAAGTTATTAATTTCTCTGTATTATTGCATAATTTAAGTTATTAAATATTATTTTCCAAGAGAAGAGAGTAGGTTCACCTACTCCCTTTTAAATATATAAATATATTAAATTATTTTTTTACCCAGGAAAATACATTTTAAGAATTAAGATGATTTCTAGATGCGTAAAATGTACAAAAAAAATCCATTTTCAATTAAAATATTACGGGATATTAGATATTACACCTGATTATTTGTACCACATATATTTGAATGGTATAACTATATTTACCATTTGTCACCGACAGAAATTCATATATATATATATATATATATATATATATATATATATATATATATATATATATATATTAATTATTGTAGAAAATGTAAGTAGTTTAATTTGGACGTGCATGGACCTTTCTGCTACCATTTAATGAATTGGGTTGACTTCAAAGTCACCGGCGGTACAGATCCATCCATTGACTTTTCTCTTCAATTTTGAATTACATTATTTATGTTTATGTTTTAATTTTGCCTCAATTTAACTAATCTTGGTTCATAACCCAATATTGATGTTAATTTTGACCATCACAGCCGGTTGGCCCCCGATCAGTCGTCCTTGACCGTCAGTCTTTTACGTTGATTTTATTTCTTTTTCTTTTTTTTGAATTTTTTTGTGAATTTGTTTTCGCCACCGCGGCAGTCCGTTAGTGGTCGTAAAAAAATATTTTCTAAAAAAATGTGAGAATGAGGATTAATGTGATATATTTGTTAAAATGAGTATCAGTGTGCAATATTTACTAAGTTATGATATTAAATTATTAATATGGATGAAATTGATATAAATTATATTTTAAATGGTATTTTGGGTAAGAGACAAGGGATGCATTTTTTCTTTTGCAAGACTGATTTTTAGTTTAGATAGAAGTGCAAATTAGTCATCTTCCTTGGATTTATATGCAATTCGCCCAATAAATAATTAACATTAATCCACGGTTCGTTAGAGAACATATTGTTGATGTAATTGTGACTGATTAAGTTTTGTAGAATTAACCACCTAATTAATTAATATTTATGATCAAATTGTTCTTTCAATTGGAGTAACATCAACGCAGTTGGGACAAAGACCTATACTCAATGCAAGACTACTTTTCTTTTTCCAAATGTTGAAAAAATAATACGTAATATATATATAAATTTAAAATTGAGTTAATTAAAAAATATTAATCTATATAAATGAAAGAGGCCTAGAAGCTAGAAGATAGCAAATATGGGTTACAAAGAAAATAGTTCAAAGCAGCTCTCAACAATTATGGCCACCCTTTTGGTGGTATTATTTTCACTAATTATTAGCTTCCCTTCCCAAGCCACCGCAAAGTATGATTACAATCCTCCACCACCACCACCACCACCGCCGGAGAAACCCTACGTTTATAAGTCACTTCCTCCGCCTCCAGAAAAACCCTACTTTTTCCCCTACTATTACGTACCACCTCCGAAGAAGTCTCACGTTTACATATCACCTCCACCGCCGCCTCCAGAAAAACCCTACGGCTACAAGTCACCGCCACCACCCAAGAAGAATTCACCGTCACCTCCTCCGCCTCCAAAAAAACCCTACTTTTTCCCCTACTATTACGTATCACCTCCGAAGAAATCTCACGTTTATAACAAGTCACCTCCTCCACCGCCGCCTCCGAGAAAACCCTACGGCTACAAGTCACCGCCATGCACCACCCAAGAAACCCTACGTTTAAGTCACTCCCTCCACCACCGCCTCTCAAGAAACCCTACTTACGTTTATAAGTCACCTTCGAAAAAACCCTACCTTTTCCCCGATGACTATCACTTATTACCTCCGAGGAGATCTTACGTTTATAGGTCACCTCCTCCATTGCCGAATCCGGAGAGACCATACGTCTACAAGTCCCCTTCGCCACCATCACCACCATAATACATACGTACACGTTTTTACGTATAATATATTTGTGTACGTATACGTTGCATTTCATGCAAAATGTGTTCTTTTACGTATTTGTGCTACGTTTTTTTACTAGGTTTTGTTATTGTGATCCTTTTAATATAATCCTCCTTAAATAAATAAATGTGTGCGGTTTCCAGAGAGGGTTAATTGTGATCATTGTTTAATTTTCCCTTGTACTAACTAGTTAATTACCATGTGACACGTGCTATAAATAATTCAAAATTCTTATTCTGACCCATAAAATACAATACGAGATTTGTCAAGAAAGATTGTAGAATTTTGTGACACCATCAACCCAGTCAAATCCAGTTGGCTATATTTACAAATTTGTATTAAATTCTGCTGACTAGTGCATTTAATTTCTTGCACATCAATGAACTTTCAGTGGGAAAATACGAAAAAAAATAAATCCATTATACTAATTTTATTTAAAGGGTAAATTACGACTGCCCTAAGCCATGAGACATGGTCAAAGTACGAAAAAAACTCTACTGTTTGGATAATTACAACTATCCGTCATCTATGAATCTTCTTACACATTCACTTTTATGGTGTTAAATTCAACATAATCTTCTAAATTTCGTGGAATGTTGTATAGTTTGTATTCGTTTTGTGCAAAATAGAGTTCTTGATGCACCACACTCTCATATTTACAAGCCAAGAGAGACACATTTTATGATCATCTTGTTTTAAAATGTCAAGCTCGAATGAATAAAACGGGTACAAAATCGAAAATATTCCATATAATCTAAAAGATTCCATTAAATTTGACAACGCAAAGGTGGACTTGTAAAAAAATTTATAGTTGATATGTAATTGTAATTATCCAAACAGGATGGACATTTTTGTAATTTAACCATACATTATGGGTGGTTGTAATTTACCTTTTATTAAATTTAGGTGGGTGACTCTAAAATAGTGAGGAAGTAATATTATATACCCCGTTTGGTTAGAGAGATTAGTCATTACTACCAAATAATTAGACTTTGTTTGTTGTTTGATATACACAATAACTTTACAAAGTACAAAAGCATTGGTGTTTAAAAGCATAGTAGTTAAACTCGCGAGATACCGCGATATATATTACGATCCCAATCAAAACGATACAACTCGTAATATGTATCGGCTATGCATAAATACCATTAAATATCGCGAGATATCGTATCGTATCGCCATATCACGATACGGTACGATATTAGTCAAAATATTAAAAAAAATTAAAAAAAAAAAAAAAAAGAAGAAGAAGAAAACGAAATATTCACATTATCCGGGCCTGAAAACGAATTTTAATATTATTTAATGTTTTATTTACATATATTAGATTCAAGAAATTTACATGCCAAGTTTTATATTGATAAGAGAAAATAGGAAAAGACCAAAGTTGGAGTTCATGAAGTTGAAGAGATTGATGAACATGAGGATGGAGACACTCGTCTGAAATTGGTGAATGAAAAAAATTTAAGTTACATTGATCTTGAAGATTATGAGTGATAGATTAGTTTTTTACAAATTAAGGATCAAAATTTGAACTTTGTTGGTGTTATTTTTATGAGCAGTTTTGACTTATGTCCTATTTTATGATATATTTTATGATAGATTTTTTTTTAAGAAATTAGGAATGAGCGGTTTGACTTTAAAATATTAAATTTTACATTTTTATAGTAGTTTTATTATGTAGATATATATATTTTATTATTTTTAATAGTTGGTTAAATATCGTACGATAAGATACGATAACGATAAGATACGATACACCGAGGAAAACAATACGCCGATATTTTCCGATTCGATAACCATGTTTAAAAGTGACACATTCTTACTCCAAAACTGCTACAAAGTACAAACTAATGCCCCTATTTATATATAAATATACGGTTTTTTTTTTTCTCGCCCGATCGAGATAGTTTTTCAGTGCCATGTAAATAAAGAAATTCATCTCTATATATATGAACGAAAGAAGCTCTCACTAGTTAGTGTCAAAACACGCCGATGTATACACGTATATATATGTAGAAATATATATGTCAGTGTATATATATTATACTCAGCAACCGTTTGCTTCATCTCGAGTATCCTGCAAATTTTACACATAATTCATCTCAGGCAAAATTAAAATTATTGAAATATATATTTTGAATTTCGGCCATTTAATTCAGCATACGTGAATAATACCTTAACTTGTTGTATGAGTTCTTCAAGTTCGATTCTGATTTCGCTGAACGGAGGCCGATTAATAGGAAGAGCTTCCCAACATTTCTGCATTATCTCTATTAACTTGGGATGCGCATTTTTTGGAAGTTCCGGTCGAAGACCCTAACAAATATAAGTTACAAATCAAATTACGTAATAATATGCAAATTACGGATAATTTTCAAGAATCGAGATCTAGATTGATTTTCTGAAATCGAGATAAAAAAAAATTATTTAATTTTCAGAGAATTTAACAAACCTGTCTGACACCAAGGGCGGCTTGTAGAGGAGTCATCGTATCATAAGGAATCTGAAAAAAAAAAAAAAAATTACTCGATTTTGTTGCTTTATTTGAGGTTCCGATATTAAAAATAAAAATTTGAAAAATGTACTTTGGCTGTCACGAGCTCCCAAAGAACTATGGCAAAGCTGAAAACATCGGCTTTTTGGTCATATGGTTGATGATTTATCACCTGTAAGATCAATTATTTTAGTAATCACTGAAGTCGAAAATTAAAAGATAAAATACTGCAATATATATTATATAAATTATGACACGCGTTTAGCAAGTGAGAAGGGTTGTACCTCGGGTGCCATCCACCTGTACGTTCCGGTTTCTGCTGTCATCACACCGCCATTGTTCTGAAACCGAGCAACTCCAAAATCCGCCACCTTAACAACCTTCAAATAATTTATCGCACATATCAACATACATATATATATAGAGCATTATCTGTATCGAAAATGTATATGAGCATAAGCAACTAAAAAGAATCTCAAGAATTGACCGTAAAAGTAGTCAACTGTCTTAGACTGTAATTGTCGGGGTGAAAAGACAAAATTGCCCTTACATCGAGGTCCCATGTTAACTCGAGATCCAAAACCAACAGTATTAATTTTGTCACGTATACGAAAATTCCCATAGTAAAATACTAACAAACTTACATTGGAAGTATCCATAAGCAAATTTGCAGTCTTCAAATCTCTGTGGATAACATTCTTTTCGTGCAAGTACTCCATTCCTTTGCACACATCAATTGCGTATTTCAGCAATTGCGGGAGCTTTAACTCACGATGATTTTTATGCAAGTATTCGTATAGGCTCCCCCGAGGCATGTACTCTACAAAACGAGAACAGTAACACGCATAAATTATAGGCTGTAATAATATAATCTTTTTTTCTTTTTTTTTTTTTAAAGGTAACTATTTAAAACATACCTGTAATAATGCATAAATGTGGCAACTTTGTGCAAGCACCGATGAAACTTACAATATTTTCATGTCGTACCTCTCTGCATCCGGACAAACAAATACGACTGTAAAAATCTCGTTACCGGAATGTACATTAGAATTGAAAATTACAAGGTTTGGTTCACACAATTAGGCCCCGTTTGGTTGACAAGATAAGATTAGCCAAGATAAGAGTAAATAATCTAATGAAACCCAATTAGTTTGTTGAAGCTTGCAACGTCCAAGAAAAAAAACTCATTAGAACGCAAGATAAACCATGATTATATAATTTTGGCGGGTCGACCCGGTAATTTATTGGGATACCAAACATCAAATTAAGTCCAACTATTTAGTTAATCATGGCTTATCTTGGCAACCAAACGGGGCCTTAGTACAAAAGTACGTAGATTACCTTAAAATGGCAACCTCCTGTGCAAACTCGACTTCGAGAGAGTTATTCAAATGCTCAGACCTAAGTACCTTAATAGCAACATCTTCACCGAGGTATATTCCACGATACCTTGTCATTAAAAAAAAAAATCGAAAAAAAAAATGTAAGAATAGTGGTAGGAGAAGGGCATAAATATTTAAGAAAATTTTCGAAATATTGTCGTGAACTAACAGGTCTCCGCAAGATCCAGCGGCGATTTTTTCCCCCATTTTCAATAATCTCCAGTCGATTTCCCAATCTTCTTGTTTCTTCGGTGAAGCAATAGCTTTGTCCGCAATTGTTTGAATGCGCGAAGAACCGGACCATGTTCCCTAAAGAGTGCAAAAACAGAGAATTTGGATTTAAAGTAGGCATCTTACAATTTCTATTTAATTTTTTATTTACCTAACGAACTATCGGACGCTAAAACAAAAATTATAGACGAGACGAAACGATAGTCTGTGTTAATTACCTCACTTCCAGCAATTGCTTTATGCATCAGGTCGTATAAACCTTCTGTATCCTGGCCACAATACAGTATTGTATCGTCAGTAAAATACGTACAGAGCAACACTCTAAATCGTAAAATTAACATAATCTCCCAAAAGCTAGAAAACGAATAAAACCGTAGTTAATTAGTAAAAGTGAGATGGTTAACAAATTATTTGCCGACTTAGAAATGTTAATTGCGACAAAATGACAACTGGTTGCACAGTATCCATTAGAAGTAACAATTTAGCGTACAGTAACAGTCGGATATGATGAATTCGACTAAATAGTAAATAATAAATCGGGTAACTTGAACATTACTTGAACCAACTATTAAATCCGAGATTCTCAAACACAACATCCCGATTATAATTTTACACGTGTAAATGTTGAAATCCCAGATTCTAAAACAGGGCATATTAGCTAAAGAAGATACCTCAGAATGCCATCCATCGACAACAAACACGTCTAAAGAGTAGCCGTCAATTGTTGAAAACACATGCGCTTCACGAATATTCAGTCCTACGTCCGAGAGCAAAGCAGAAAGCTGCGGAAAATTAAATTAAATTAAATTAAATTTTGCAGTTATATTTGATGGCCTGCGGATGAATATTCGGTTTCTAAAATTGTGAAGAATGCCAAATGTGACGAAGCAAAGGGGGAAGTAAGAACGATGAAAAACAAAGAGAAAAATAGGATAACGAAATTAGGGTTAAGATAAGAATCAATAGCAAAAGACAATCGGATACCATGCACTATGCATGTGCTAATTTAACAAGAAGTCTTATGAACTAAACGTGTAGTTTAAGTGTGCCGACCTAAAATGTAATAACACGAAAGCAGAAACATATAAATATCCCTCTAATTATCTACCTGACTAAGAAGCTTCGGCTTGTCGGCGGTCGAAAATATTATTTCATGAATTGGTGTGTGTAACGTGTCCTGCCTGCAATACGCATCCACGTACTACATTTATATTTTCAATCAAATTTAAGGGGTCTAAATAAAAATTAAAAATTAAAAAAGTGAGAAAATTACCGTCTGGTAAAATCTTCAGCCGAATCCCGTCGATTTATGTCATTAGAATTCCTCCTAACATCCAAATTCAGATCCTCGAGCTTAGAGCAAGTCTCAAAGTCGCCCCCAGAATTCCTGTTTTCCGATTACAATCAAAGAATCTAATTTTATAAGAAGGTTGATAAATTCTAGAATCGCTGTCGTAAATATAAACTTTTAATTTAATGAGAACCTGTCGTTTAATGATTGGACGCCGTTGTTGACACTATTATGTGGGAGTGAAACACGAGGAACACTCGACACTTGTTCGCCATCAAAATCATCATCTCTATTACAAACACTCTGAAACAAACGAATTGCTATTAATTAATTCCGTTCACTCATGAATAACGTTTTTGCATTTAGTATAAACGGACAGCAAAATGTACCTCGAGAAAACGGATGAAGAAAACGGGTTGATTTTCAGGATCCTTTGCCCGAGATAGAAGCTTTTGATGTAACAACACGTCTTCCACTCTATCCATATTAATATCCAGCCCATAACTGCCAAAACAATAAAATCGAGAATCTCCCGAACTATAAAATCGAGAAGCTACCGACATGATCGAATATCCACCCATTATAAAACCCCAAGATCCAAACTTTCTTTATAAATTCCGAAACGAATATATCACTCGATAATCTACCCGAACTATGTGTCGTATGGTTGCATACATGTGTAGATACAGCTAGGCACAATACATAATATACACTAATTAACCTTAAACAAGTTTCTTGAACACATAAAAATGCAATCTTTTTTTTTTCTTTCAAGAATTGCAAACACACGGCAAGAAACAAGGAAAAGATTCAAAAACCCACTATACCCCACTTTTCTTATTCAGCAAATTTCCGTACACACATACATACAGACACGTGTATGTATACATTTTCACACACACACACACACACACATACCTCAGAGGGAGGCGGTGGAAGTGGGCATCCAACTGTTCGAGAAAATCAGGATTACTAATCGCCTCTTCGTTACCATTCTCAATCAGCCGATTGTACACATCGTTCTTGATCACATCGTTTCCGCCGCCGCCGAAGCTGCCGTAACTCCGCGCCGGCGACGAGCTCTCCCCAACTTCCTCCACGAAATCCATTTTTTTTAAATAATTTTAAACTATTTACAGGCGGCCACCTCTATGTATGTACAAGGCAAGTTAATTAAGAAATTAGGCTTTAGTTAAATGAGTTCCATCGGAACTGTATCTTTTTTTCAATTCCAACGGTTGGTGGAATCTAAAAAGAGGATGGGCTAATTCGGTAATTTTGATGAGAATGGAGGGGTAAATTGGTCCGCCATTACTGTAAATAAGGAGAGAGGATTTTGGTGTGAAGAATCAAGAATGTCAGTTTTGGTTATTCAGATAAAGACTTTGAGACTACTACTACTGGTCTACAGACTTTACTTACATTATTATGTTTTGTGTGTTTTATGTGAGAGAGAGAAGTGTGTGTGTGTGTGTGAGAGAGAGAGAGAGAGAGAGGAGGAGGAGGTGGGACTTGGGTGTAAAAAGTGGGGTGGGAGTGGATAGGCTTCTGGATATGTAATTAATAAAAAATTGAGGGGTTTGTCAGATAAACCTAAATAAGTATTTGGGGATGTAATTACTTGTAGGGGCAACGGATCTTGTAATAATTACGATGATATCAGCGTCAGATTTTCAGGGACGCGTTTGGTTGCGTTTATAATGTTTTCCTTTTTTTTTTTTTATATAAATTTTGGCTAAATTACAACTACCCCTGAGATATGGTCAAATTACGAAAATCCTCTTCTGTTTGGGTAATTACAACCATTCATCAACTATAAATCTTCTTACACGACCACCCTTGCAGTTTTAAATTTAGTGGAATCTTTTATATTATATGGAATATTCTCAATTTAGATCCGTTTTATCCCATTCGAGCTCTACATTTTGAAGCTAGATGATCATAAGATGTGTTTTTTGGCTTGTATATATCAGATTGTGGTGCATCAGAAACTGTATATTTGCACAAAACGAGTAGAAACTAGAGTACATTCCACGGAATCTAGATTGTTATGTTGAATTTGAAACCATAACGGTGGAGATGTAAGAAGATTCATAGTTGAGGGTAGATGTAATTATCCAAAACAAGAGGGAATTTTTTGTAATTTGACTATATCTTAGAAGAGTGGTTGTAATTTACCCTAAATTTTTATACCAATAAATTGCTATAAAATAGCCTTCAAGATTCGTATATATGTGCATAAAATAGTGAATTTATGTATTAGGATTTTGTTTTCTTATTTATGCATATGAATTTAGGACAATATCTTTGAAGTAAGAACATACTAAATTCAAATTCAGGGATAAATTTCTTATTTAATTAAGAATTATAAGACTTTTTTTTTAATAGATAGCACCTTTGGAAAAATGATTTTTACATAAAAATGATCTTTAGGCTATTTTTACTCATTATAAAATCCTAAAAACAAAGTTGTGGTAAACATATTTTTTTAAGGATCTAATTTATACTGTAGTAGCTTATTTTTTGTACCCGAACACTTTGAAAGATCGTATAAACTCTTAAACATTTTATAAGTTATTTTTAACATGTAATAAACTATTCTTGCGTGCTTATAAACTTAGTCAAATATTGATGTACTTCATAACTTATATAATAAATACTCATTGTACTACTTTTAATTATTTTTCCCTAAATAAGTGAGCCAGCATTTAAATTTACTAACAATCGGTCAAAACTACGGAAAATCAGAGAGTTTGTCCATGCCTAAAAACAAAATAAGTGCTATAAACAACGACAATCAATCCTTTATTTCGACAATAATTATGTCATATTATTTTTATAATATTAACTTGCGAGGATTGAGGATGTACTTCTATTTATATACTTCTTCTGTTCCATAATATCTGTTTCTTTTGAGAATTTTTTTGTTCCATATTATCTGTCAATTTACAATTACAATGCTGTATTAATTGCTTATTTTTTTATTTTTACTCTTATTAACTCTATACCACTCTTCATGCATTAATTAATAAACAAGGGTATTTTGGTCCATCAATATCTATTTTTATAAAAAAAAGACATATTTATTGAGATTCTTAAGATTTGTGCCAAGGTGAAAAACGACACCTATTTAGGAACGGATGGAGTATTTTATTGGTATTAATTTTTCATTTTTTGAAAAATCATTGGTAGTAATTTTATACACTTGTGTGTCAACTTTAGGTTAACTAATTTATGACCAACCCCTGAAGTATGTTCAAATTATGAAAAGAATCCTTATGTTTGGATAATTAGAACCACCCATCAATTATATATTGTCTTACACGATTACCCTTACGTCGTCAAATCTACTTACTAAAAGAGGGTTTTTTCGTAAAACGATACATAGTTCAGGATAGTGGTTGTAATTATCCATATCAGAAGGATTTTTTCGTAATACCGACTTAACTCGGGGGAGTGGTTGTGAGTTGCCCAAAATTAAATTACATTGAGTTTTATTGGTCTGGTTTATTAATTACATTCATTCAAATGGTACCTACTAGATATAATTATTCAGAAAAAATAAACCAACTAGATATAAATATATATATATATATAATTCAAATGAATATGTAATTATATTAAAAGTTAAGTTGTTGGTCATCATAAAAGAGTCATCCCTCCAGCCATCGAAAATTTAAAGCCAATGATAATAAAGTGCCAAAAAGGTAAATACTTTAAAAAATAGGGTTTATAAAAATATTTAATTAGCATTTAGAACTGTCAATTAGGTCATGGTTACTTTAGAACTAAGGAAAATTAATAATGACGTAATTAAGTAAGTGATTTGATTTTTTTTTTTAAATTATAGTTTTTATGCTTACAAATAGTTTTGAATTTAAAAAAATTCACAAGGTGACATACATTGTGAAACTTAAAACATGGTCTTAAATCTTAATCAATATAACTTAATGAGAATAAAAATAAATGGGAAAAATACAATTTCCATCCCCAATTTTGCACTTATTCCATATTTGGTCGTGTTTACAAAAAATATATTTAGTCCCTCATGTTTCAAAAATTCAACGTTTATAGTCTTTTCCGTCAATTTTCCGTTATTACTAACGGAATCAAGCGTGTTCCCGTCACTACAAATTAACGGTAAAATGACGAAAATGACCATAAGTGTTAAATTATTGAAACATGAGGGAACAAATGTGTTTTTTTTTTTTTTTGTGAACATGGGGACCAAATGTGAAATTGGTGCAAACTTGAGGGATAATTTATAAATACATATGTTATCTATCATATAGTTTCGCATGAAATCACCTAACGGTTGGAGTAAATGAGTTTGTGTTAATCGACTGAAGTTCGAATTTTCTTGCCAGTAATAGTTTGGTTGAATTTCTCGCACATGGCGTAAAATTATAATTTGAATTCTATCTTCTTTTGTTTAATTTTTTCTGACAGAAATGGTAACTATTTCAACATTGAATTGGTCATATCTTAGTTTGTTAGGTGTTTGATTTCAACAAGACAACAACCAAGTTTCTTAAATTAATAATTGAATTATCTAATACAAGGCCGTCCTTGCTGACTTTTTCAGGCATTGACCTCCTAAAAGTGGGGTTAACTAAGTCTTAATTTTAATTTCAATTATAATTCTAATGGCAAAGAATCTCCTCAGTCATTGGATTGAAATGCTTCGATTTCATCGAGCAAGGTCAAATTACGACCACTCCTAAGGTAATGTCAAATTACGAAAAAATCCTTCTGGTTTAGGTAATTAAAATTATTCCCTTATCTATATATCGTTTTACGGAAAAACCCATCTTTCAGTAAATAAATTTAACAACGTGTAAAAAAGTACATAATTAAGGAGGTGGTTTTAATTACTTAAATAGAATATTTTTTTTCTCTCGCAATTTAACTTTATTTCAGGTGGTGATCGTAATTTGCCCGGGCCTTTTATTTTTTTAAAGAAAGACGTAGTATAATTCAAGACTTGCACGTCACTTTTCTTACAATAAATTAAGGTGCATTTATTTATAATTTAATTTGATCTTAGTGAGAATATTCCAGTCAGAATCGTTAGGTTTTATTTTCAATTTCAGCATTTTTCATACTTTGAGGTGTTTGAGCCAATTTGCAGAAATTACTTACAAAATTAATAAATTAAATTTCAAACTTATTTTTTAATGATGTCTAACGTATAAGCTTAAGAATATTGTGGGTTTGGGCATATTTTCTTTAAGACAATGGGACTTTGGAATACTAACATTAACTAAATTCGCACCCCATAATAATAAAAAAGTTAGGTGGATGTAATATTTGTTCTAGAAATGATGAAGATCTTATATTCTCATGAATGTTTTTACTTTAAAAGATACTACTTTTTAGTGCAAGAGCAAAAACAAAATGTCAATCAAATATAACTTTTACTCAATAGAACTAATTATCAATGTTGGCATGGCTTTGATTTGAAATTGGGCCTACATTGGATATATAAAAAAATGTTAAACATATGATGGAATTATGAAAGTGTTTCCAAAAAAAGGTTGATGCCAATCCAAAATTCTTACACACTAATTTGGAAAATGTGATATCATGCTCTATCCCATTAAATGTTTAATTAAGAACAAGTAAAAGTAAAATATTATCGTTTCTTTTAATGTCGATTTAACGTCGTAAACACTAGCAGAGCCAGGATTTGAAGTCCGCAACGATCGAATGCATTAAAAGAATTCTAGGAGGGTCGTTAGTGATATTATACACAAAAAATCTTCAAATTTGCACTGCCCCCTCGGACTTTTTGCTGGCTCCGCCACTGATCGTAAATGTTAATATTACAATCGCACCTGTTTATCGAGTACTATACCGAGTGAAATATATTGAGTGTTACACATTCATTTTTTGTCCCATACATACTTGAATGGAGAGAGCATAAATTTGACCACCCAAACACAAACTCCAAAGGCCGAAAAGTGATAATGAGAGAGCAACCAATGTTAAGGAAATTAAGTGCATGTACCTTTCATGTTTATAAATTTGGCGTTAAGAGGGGTAAAATCGTCCAACGGTATATCACTTATTTAAGACTTGGTAGTAGCTATAGTCATTTATTATGGGCTAAGATTAGAATGAGAGCAATGGAATAATTAATTTCCATCAATAAGAATTGGTTAATATTCTCCACTTTGGGGTATTTGCTTTTTATTATTATAAAAAAGTTGGTTTATTTTTGTTAATTTATCTTATTCAATTGTAACAGTTTACTTGCTAAAAGGTAAAATTTTTGGCCAGAGGGCTCCATCCCCTGGCCCGACACACTTGATGCACGATATAATTTATGGTGATTCAACGTCCATTAAGGTAGCCGGCAGTTTACCGGTATGTTGCAACTATAATTTTGTATATACACGGATTAAAACTACTAAAAGTAGAATAAATAATAAAAGAAATTCACGTGGTTCAGATGACCTACATCCACGATACCTTCAAAATTATCATAGCGCAATAATATATATTTCATTTTGCCGACATGGGTATAACTTAAGTAGTTTCGGAATGGTAAGTTGGTACAATATATATTTCATGAGCATGGTAAATAAGAAAATAAAAAAAAACAACCAACAAACATATATTAGGTATACATGTGATCACAGCTCACAAGACTTCATAAGCTATTGCATCTCATCATCTCATGTATCCAAGATGGGATTGGATTCCCATCAATGTCAATTCCACATAATTTAAACTATTACACCAACGCAAAAAAAAAAAAAAAAAAATTGTAATAAACTCGGAAATGATAATAATAATAAAGGGTAAATTACGGCACTCCATATGTATACTTAAATTACGAAAAATTCTCTCATGTTGAGTAATTATAAAAATCCATCAACTAACTAATGTCTTGCGCGTTCACCTTTACGATGTTAAATTTACCTAGTGAAGGAAGGAAGTTTTTGTAAGACAATGCACAGTTGATATAAGACTGTAATTATTCAAACATGAAGGGTTTTTCGTAATTTAAATTTATCTCATAGGCGACCGCAAATGGACTAATAATAATAAAAATAATAAAGGGAAACCGTCCATGAGTTTGAAATGGAGAATGGGCCCACATGTAATGTGTCATTCATTGAATTGAATGATGTAAAGAGGGAAATGCCCAAGTTTTTGGTGCTCCAAAATGGGGCCTATCCAGATTTTATATATCTGCTTGATGTGCAATTTGCCTTAAATATGACATACCTTTGATTGTGATGTGCTGCTAAAGATTTATCTACATCCCACTCACCATTTTTATTTATTTATTTTCTATTTAATTTTATCTATTTGTCACTCCCCAAATCAATCAACTCCGACTTTGAATTTCGATATGTTTGGCTGCCGGTTCCTACATTATTAAAAAAATAAAATTAGTTAAAATACAATTTTATGTGATGTAAGTTAAGAACCATCGTTGAATCTCGAATATTTGAATCAAAATATGTAATTTTGTCGACCATTTTTTTGATGGATTGTTACTAGCCTTCAACCGTGACATCCACCGTGGAGCGTAGAATGATTTTGCAAGATCGAAATTCGACGGAAATTTTGAATTTTGGTGGGGTTTTTTTTTTTTTTCGACAGCATAAATAGAGGGGAATCTATCCATAGGGCAAAAAAAAAGGGACTACTTGTTTCTTCCATTGACTGTGGAATAATGAACTGTTTTTATGATTTTTTGTTGTTTTCTTTTCCTTTGATAGTGACATTATTTTGCAAAACAAGAAAAAAAAAATTCAATTTCGGAATTTTTTTTCTTTTTCTTTCTATGGAAAAGAACCGAATAATTAGGAGATTTAAAAAAAAAAGTCGAACAGTTTGTTTTATTTTATTTTATTTATTATTTTTTATGACGCATATTCCCAAAGAGATTTAAATTTGGACTATTCTCCACTACCAGAGAAGCCCAATAATACAAACATAAGTAATACCCCAATCCAGCCCAACATTGAAAGGAACCACAGATTTTTTAACATCGACCATTTTTGTTTCTAATATAAAAGTAAGAACCTCGATAAATTAATAATATCGCTCAATTAATAATTTTTTCCGGTCCCAGCTCGTTAAAACATACTAAATTCTTAGTTCGATGATTTAATATTTTGCTAAATTAACAGAATTTTTTTAGTCCCGACTATATTAATTTATAAAAGGTTTATGTAATTGAAGACCACAAATAGATGCAACATTGACTAAAAAATATCGATTTTTGAGAAACATTGATTCAAATTTTTCTAAGTAAATGAAATATTCTCAATTCATGCATATTTCTGCAACATCAGTGACATCACTATATCTATCTAACATATACCTCTATCAAAAAAAAATATCTAACATATACCCATCTCTGAGTTCAAAGCTCAATCAAAGCTCAACTGCATAAATAAAACCGGAAAAAGGAAAAAACTACCGAAGTATTTATGCAGAAACAACTCGTGTTTGAGGATTACTTCTAAGTTACCTTGTGCACTTTGGGTTGATCGACATTTACGTAACTTGGTATTTTGATTCAAGAATGATACCTTTTTCTTGTTTATTCAAGAATTATACTCGGCCTAATAAATTGATCTTCAAGAGGGTTTTTCTTCTACAAATATCCAATTCGTGGTGTTATTCGTAACTGTATAATGTCGAGTATTAGATTCAATTCGCAGTTTAACAAATCGGATATTTTCATCTAAATTATCAAATTTCAACTTAGAAACTACAACCAAACCTCTCAAGAATGGAACTTCACACCTACCAAAAGAACTCGATATTCATCAACCCTAATCTGATATAAAAAGAGCACATCAAAAAAGACATTCTGCAAAATTCCTCAATCTAGTCGAGAACAAAATACACTACAAAGGGTATCGAGCAATACAACAACGACACACAACACGACACCCGAATTCCTAAACACAGAGCATCGCTTTTCAACGACATTTTCAAGAGGCTTATGAACAATAAACACGAGCAACAGCAACAAAAAACCGAGAATAGGTGTCTGTCTACTCACGAAAGCATATAGATAATACAACAACATATTTCAATCGATGTAGCAATTTAGTTATAACAAAAATAAAAATCGAAATTGTATTTTTTGCAAACACTTAATAAATGTTTACCTACGGAACAGCATCAAGCCTCGCCTCGAATACGAATCCACGAGGAAGCCCGTCTCCGCTCCCAAGCACACCATCGACCCACCTCCACTGTGTGTTTTCGTCTCCTTTTACTTCCTCCCACATAGCCAATCTCCCAACCCTTTTCGCCGAGAAACAAACCCTATTTCCAGCACCGAAAACCTTGAATTTACTGCTCTCCATAAAGCACCTGTACATTTCCACGGGCATTCTCCCAGCTTCATCCCACTTCAAGCTCTCCAAATCGAGCCTCAGTATCAAGATCGTCGTGCACGCGCTCTGCAGCGCGTACGAGCTGCTTAAGCCACCGACCATGTACACTTTCTTATCGTCACCTGCTTTAACCAATCTCGGCCGCTTCAAAATGTCGAAAATGTCCCCCCACTCGCGCTTCTCCAATCTCGCCCACTGCATTGTTTTCTTCTCGGCATTGTTGGCGATCTTCGTCTTGAACATCGCCCATTGCGACCTCCACGGGGACCCCACATCGCACAATGTGAGGATGAAATCGGAGATTAGAACCGGGCTTCGGGGTTTCGAAGGCAAATTGGACGAGAATTTGAGCCAATTGGACGAAATGCTTGGATCAAAGGTGCCGTTTTTAGGGTTTCCGTTGTCGGAGTAGTACAGAATTGCGAGCTCGGTGAGGACGAGGACTACGCTGAGGGAGCCGGCTAGGACGGAGCCGTGGCGCGACCAGGCGGAGCCGAGCTGGGGGAGGGTTTTGAACTGGCCGGTGAGGGGGTTGCAGACAACGAGGGCTTTTTGGGAATTTAGAGCGGGGGAGATTGGGGGATTTTGGAGAGAAGAAGCCCAGAGGTAGAGGAGGCCGTCGCAGGAGGTGATGGGGTGGAGGGCGGAGAAGGGGAGGAAGGAGAGGGAGAATTTGATCCATCGATTGGCGGCGGGATCGAAGGCGTGGAGGGTGGGATGGGCGGTGACGTGGCGGTGGGAGGGTTTGAGGGCAACGAGGGAGAGGGGTTGCGATTGGGTGGTGGTGCGGAGGAGGTGGAGGAAGGAAGGGGAGGAGAGGGCGGAGTGGAGGGACTTGCAGACGCACTTGGCGGCGGCGATGCGGCGGAGGGAGAGGCGGCTGAATATCTGGTGGAGGGTGTCTTGTGGGAGAGTGTTCAATGGGGAGGAATCCATGGATGTGTGATTTGCATTTGGTCGGAAATTTTGTGCTTAGATTTGATTTCGGTTGTTGACCGTTGACCGTTGACGGTTGACTAAAATCCTTTTTTGGATTGTGGCTAGTAGGCCTGACTATTTATATTGGGCCTAAATTAAAAGTTATATATTTTAGATTAGATGGCCATGAAAATTGGGTTGGGCTAGATCTATAAAAAAAACAAGATATAATAAAGGGTTTGTCCCTTTTCTATTGGGTTGAAAATCGGACGAATTGGATCGAAATTAATACTTTCAATTGTGTTTTAACTTTTTTTTTTCAAGTGGAAAACTTAATAGTGTAGTACAAAAATCAGAAACTATATTTCCAAAATTGATATTTTTAGGATTGAAATTGGCAAAAATCCTGAAATTCCAATTTTTCGGCTACCTATAGTACAAAAAACAAAAAAAATCGGAATTAATACTTTAGAAATTTGGGAAAATATGGTTTGAAAATTGGAGGTCCAATTTGCATGCTAATGGTGGCAGACAACTTGATGTTTTTCTTTACAAAAATGTAGGCAAGTTGATTTTAAAGTTTAAATAAATAAATAATTAAATAAAAAGGAGATATTTCGGTAATTGTGTAGGTGTGGGCCCGTGCGCTCATGGCTCGTGATTCTGTGTGGTCCACTTATATATATATGTGAGCGCTTATCCACACGTAGACATTAGTGAATATTCAATCTTTCTCCTCCAGTCACCTGCCCAATCACATGGTGGGCCCCACTGCGATTCCACCCAATAATTCCCCACACTAACTTAATTTCTCTTAATATATATATATAAAAAAAGGGACAGGGACGTGATAAATGTCGTTCAAGCTTTAATAATATCGTTTCGACTTCAAATGTGATTTTGATTATTTTTAATTTCAAATTTTGCAAAATCCGAAAAATAGAATTTGTAGTATTCTGAGTTAGTTTTCTAATTCAACTTGAATCACTAAAATTGGGTGTCAGACGAGAAAGATATACATGAATTAATGGATACTGCCCACAACTTTGATGGATTGAGGTATCTAAAATTCAAAATGTGACTCATTCATGCATAACTTTATCACACATCATCCAATCTAGCGGATTTAAGTTGGATTAGAAAGCTAACCCAAAGGACTACAGTTTCCGTATTTCGAATTTTGCCAAAATCAAAATAGAAATATTTTAAAATTAGATTCGAGGTCAAAACAATATTAGTAAAATTAAAACGATATTTAACATTTCAGATAAAGAATAAAATAAAGGGGGCAACTATTTTGAATACTAATTTTTGCTTAGTTGAATACTACCTAGTTGAAAACCACAATTGAGTACATATTTATAAGTTTTTTCTTACTTTAATACCAAAATAAAAATAAAAGTACAAAAATACCCTTTCATACAAAATACTAATTACATCAATTTTTCTTTGAAATTACCTATTTGAAAACCAAATAAAAAAACAGAAAAAAAAAATTCAAACACAAAAAACCTCCCTCCGTCCACCTCCCTCCGCCCGACGCCGCCCGACGCCGCCGCCGCCGCTCCAACCATCGCCGCCGCCGGACGCCGACGCCAAACACCGCCGAACGCCGCCCAACGTCGCCCAAAGCCGCCGCCGTCGTCGTCTTCGAATAGTAAGTTATAGTTGTTTCGATTTTTTTTTCTTTAATATTTATTTAAGATTTGATTGTTTGATATGGGTAATTAGGATTTGGTTGTTTTAGGTTAGAATGATCGTTAATTAGTAATGGGTGCATCTGATTTCAGTCGATTTGAGCATTGATTTGAGATTCGTGGGTCGGTTCTTCGTTCACCATTTTCGACCTGTATATGTCGATTTTCGATGAATTTTCGACAGGTTGATGTCGAAAATTCATCCAAAATCGACATGTAGATGTCGAAAATGGTGAAAGTGTTGAATTTGGATTTTGGTAATTTTCAACAGCTACCTGTCGAAAATGGGTCCCATTTTCGACAGGTTGCTGTCGAATTTGAACTGTGAATTTTTTTTTTTTTTTTTTTTTTTTTTTATTTATTTGCTTGTGTTTATATTATGTATATTAATTTTTATTTGTGTGTTTTTTTGCAGTGGAAGAACCACGTGAACCTCGTATACCTCCGACTGTCTCGAACCGTAAGAAGAGGAAGGAATTATCCGATAGAGGCAAGGGCATAGCAGTCACGACCAAGAAAAAGACCACGACCAAGAAGAAGTCTGGAGAGGGTTCTTCGTCAACGAATCCGGTGCCGGCTCTACCTTCGACTGTAGAAGTTGGTGATTCGAGCAACGAACCGGTCCGAGGTCCCGAGATACCGGAATTGTACACAAAATTTGATAAGCACATTGCTTATCATATTGTGAACGGAGGGCCAGATCGTTCGGAGCGCGGCTCAGAATTTCGAATACGAAATCACACAGGAACTTTGAAAGGTTGGGAGCCGGCGCCGTTTATTACAGAGGTAGTACAAAGATGTGGTTTAATGTCAGTTGTACAGGCATCGTACAAACACTGTGGACGGCCATCTACTTAGAGCCTTCGTAGAGAGATGGCAGCCAGCTACCAACACATTTCACTTACCTGTTGGAGAGATGACCATCACACTTGACGATGTGAGTACGTTGGTCGGTTTGCCAGTTGTTGGGCGTACCGTATCTTGCGAGCGTTTGGTCCGTGATTCCAAAACGATCCCCAGTACTTTGATGTTCGAGTTGCTAGGTGAGTACCCGGACGATGTAAACAAGAAGAAAGCGGTCAAGTTGGAATGGTTGAAGGCTAAATTTAGCAAAGTGACCATGAGAGATAGTGTGGAGAAGAGGACATACGCCATTCGGGCGTATTTGTTATTTTTGCTCGGGTGTACTATACTGTGCGACAAGACAGGCAACATGGTAAGCGTTGAGTACCTAAATCTTGTATCTGATTTGGATCGGATCGGCGAGTATGCTTGGGGCACTGCATGTCTTTGCCGATACAAGTCTCTCCTTGTACGGATCCAACCATGAATTAGCTACATACTCTATAGCCGGGAGATAACCCATAAATGTTCTTTTCAAATCCTCCCAATCCTCATTGAACTCCTCTATGGTATTTCTTTCAATAAGAGCCGAAAAACTCGACTGAAATTGCTTCCATTTGGTGATGTCCTTTGGGAACAATTTCTTACAATTGGCCAGTATATTCTTGTTCACATGCCACCGACACAGCAAGTGATGACTCGATGGATACACATTGGCCACTGCTTTCATTAAACCCAAATCTCGATCTGTTACAATGCAATTAGGCCGAGGACAACTGCTCATGGCCTCCTTCAAACAACGCAACGCCCATTCAAAATTTTCCGTCTTTTCGTGGTCCAAGTAGGCAAAGGCAATTGAGAACGTCTTGTTGGTACAAGTAAAACCCACAATCTCAAGAAATGGGAGTCCGTAACGATTGGTCTTGTACGTGCAATCGATGACGAATACGTACGGATACGACTGTGCCAACTTAATGCATTTCGGGTGGATCCAAAACAAGTCGGTAATCGCATTCAACTCGTTCGATCTACGGTACGAGAGGTATTCATCTTCTTTCAACTTGACGAACAATGATTGCAATTGAGATCTCCCATCCAATTCACTGAAATTTAACTTAGAGATAGTATTGTAAACTGTCTTCATACCAGTTACATTAGACGGGTCCTTTTGCTTCAATGCTCTTAGAATTGCCCTTGGTTTCACCATTGCTTTCTTCATAGTGTGAACAAAGGAAACATCCTCCTTTGATAATCTTCCGGCATAAGAGTGTCCGTGCAAGTTTTCGAATAAGTTGTGGTTGTGAATACCACAACTAACATCCAATTTCCACTCAGCCTTTTCATCATCCTTGTGTTCTCTTGTCCCCTTCAATTTAAACGGACAATTGCATTTCTTTGAACCGGTGCTCCTTTTTCCCGGTCTTTGATCATCTTCACCTGGTACCTTCTTGCCAACATAATGGCCCCCACGCTCACAACGAACAATCACATACGGTGTCCTACGTCCTCTATCCCCGTCACTCGAACCCCCAATCATTAACACCATTCCAATTCTTTTACATACTTCACGAACCCATGCCATTAAAGCTTCTTTTGTTGGGAATTTTTCTGACGTGGTAAATGAATGGGTGCAATCGATCTACACAAAAGTGTCGAAAATATAAGACAAGTAAATTTGCAACAGGAACCAAATCGACACTTAACTGTCGAAAATTACCCATATTTTCGCCACTTAAGTGTCGAAAATAGAGGTCACTTTCGACACCTAAGTGTCGAATTATGATGCTTTTCGACACATACATGTCGAAAAATAAGGGTATTTTCGACCTGTATGTGTCGAAAATACATGGCGAGTTTTAAAAAAAAAAAAAATCAAAATCGATGTTTTAGCTCAAAAAATACATGAATACATACCTGAATGGGTTCTCCTTGCTCGTAAACTACCATTCTATTGTCATTTGAGGCCATTTTGCAAGTTGTGTAAGGTTTTGATTTCTTTTGTTTTGGGGTTTTTTAGGAGGGTTTTTGGGGAGGGAGAAGAAGGAGGTGGAGGAGGTGAGGGGTTTGTGAGTGAGGAGGGAAATGTTTTTTTTAGGTTTTTGATTATTTGGTTTTTAAGAAAGAAAAATAGTATTTGTAATATTTTTTGGTTTTAATTTTCATTAAGGGTATTAAAGTAATTTACAATTAATTATTTATTTTTTATTTTTTTGGTATTCAACTAAGCAAAAATAAGTATTCAAAATAGTTGTCCCCTAAAATAAAAATTACCAGTAGCTAACGGAGCAGCCGAGAAAATACGGGTTTTCGGGGCGGGTTGAAATCCCAAATCACAAAACGACGCCGTTTTGGAAGAACTTTGAAAAATCAGTCTGAGTCACGTATACTATATTTACACCACTAGCGGAGGTGCCACTGCCATACTTCGCCTCCTCTTCTTCCGCTCGATTTTTCCGCTTCTCCATTTCTTCATCCGCCATTTGAATTTACCAGGTGACTCATAATTTTTTTTTGTTTTTTTGGTTGCATTTGATCCGTTTTTCTGTGATTATTGGTGGTAATCGAGCGATGTTTTTGGTTTTTTTTCCCTGTGCATTTTTTGGTTGAATTGAAGTAGGTGATGGTTGGGAGCGGTGTTGAGGTTCAATCAACGATGTCGATTAACGGATCTCTGTCGAACGGGAAATCCGCCGAGCAGTTGGCCGTGTCGGACGTCGAGTCTTTTGATCCGGCGACGGTGGTGCCGGAGCCGCTGCCGCCGGTGGTGGATTCGAACGGTGAGGAGGTGGTGAAGCCGAGGGAGATCGTTTTAGGGAAGAATGTTCACACCACTTGCCTGGAGGTGACGGAGCCCGACGCCGACGATGAGTCCACCGGAGATAAAGACGCCTACATGGCCAGTGTGTTGGCGAGGTACCGCAAAACCCTCTTGGAACGGACCCAGCACCATTTGGGTACGGTGTATTTGTATTTTTATCTGTGTTCATTTTTTTTTATATTAATCAATTTTAGTTGTTGATTGGATTTGGATGGTTAATTATTCAAATTGGCTCCTAAATTGCAAGCAGTGAATTAGTACATAATGATTACAATTTTTATTTTATTTTTTATTCTGGTGAAATTTATAAGTTTCATCCAGTGTTATGATGCAATGGATCTTGGTAGCCTCGTCGCGATTGAATTTGTCGGAGATCCTCCCTTTGATTTTGCCTGCCTTTTTAATTGTTCATTTTAGGTTTCCGGTTTCAATTGGTTAGCTTCCAAAATGTATTGAAGATTTGTTCAAGTAGCTAAGCTGGATTTGTTTAATGAATCTTACCTTACAGTTCAGAATAGTTTCTTAGTTTCTTCTTTCTTTGTCACAGGATATCCGTACAATCTGGACTTCGATTACGGCGCACTTGGTCAGTTGCAACATTTCTCCATTAACAACCTTGGAGATCCATTCATCGAAAGCAACTACGGTGTGCATTCGAGACAGTTTGAAGTGGGTGTTTTGGATTGGTTTGCCCGCCTTTGGGAAATTGAGAAGGACGATTACTGGGGATATATTACTAACTGTGGAACTGAGGGTAATCTTCACGGGATCCTTGTTGGGTAAGCGAGTCCCGGAGTGCGATAATGAGGTTTCTTAGGTAGGGTTTGAGCAAATTCTGAAATTGATTTATTTATTATTAAATTGAACAGGAGGGAAGTGTTTCCTGATGGAGTTTTATATGCTTCAAAGGAGTCACATTACTCTGTTTTCAAAGCAGCAAGGATGTATAGAATGGACTGTGAAAAGGTCGGAACATTGGTCACTGGAGAAATTGACTGCACAGATTTTAAGACGAAGCTTCTTTTGCACAAGGATAAACCGGCAATCATCAATGTCAACATAGGTAATTATTTCTTGTATGTCTCTTCTTAGTGCAAATGTGCAGGATGAGGAATGTAAGTTCGCATTTGCTAATGCGATTTATTGTACTTACTGAACCTGCAGATATTGTTAACACATTTGGAGTCATATTTTTCTGAAATTGTTTGATTTATGATACAAAATGCAGGAACTACTGTTAAGGGGGCTGTTGATGACCTGGATCTAGTTATACAGACCCTCGTAGAAAATGGATTTTCACATGATAGATTCTACATCCATTGTGATGGTGCTCTGTTTGGGCTCATGATGCCATTTGTCAAAAAGGTAATCTTTCTTGTTTTGCTTTGTACGTAATCCTACAGTGGAGTTGATTACTTATCTTATGCACTAGCATCAATGGTTGGAAATGAATCAATAGACAGCAATACAGCAGAAAACATTTGCACTCTGGATTAAATTTCTTAAATCAACCATTTTCCGCAGAAAAAGAGAAAAAATCTCTATCCTGCTTCCGTTTTGATTTCGCCACAAATTTATACTATGGCTTGTAATTCATTCAGGCACCGAAAGTTTCATTCAAGAAGCCTATAGGAAGTGTAAGCGTTTCTGGCCACAAATTCGTGGGATGCCCAATGCCATGTGGAATCCAAATAACAAGGCTGCGGCACATAAACGCTCTCTCAAGAAACGTAGAGTATCTCGCCTCAAGAGATGCCACAATCATGGGAAGCAGAAACGGGCACGCTCCGATTTTCCTGTGGTACACTCTGAACAGAAAAGGGTACAAAGGTTTTCAAAAAGAAGTCCAAAAGTGCCTTCGAAACGCTCACTACTTGAAGGACCGTCTCAGGGAAGCTGGAATCAGTGCCATGCTCAACGAACTGAGCAGCACTGTGGTATTTGAGCGGCCTCGAGATGAAGAATTTGTTCGCATGTGGCAGCTCGCTTGTGAGGGGAATATGGCCCACATTGTTGTCATGCCTAATGTTACTGTTGAGAAGCTGGATTACTTCTTGAATGAATTAGCTAAGGGGCGAGCGATTTGGTATAAAGATGGGAAAGAACAGCCCCCTTGTCTTGCGGTAGATGTTGGGATTGAGAACTGTTCTTGTGCCGTGCACAAATAATTTTTTTCTTTTGTTGTCTTTAAGGAACTACCTGTTGTTTTCTGCTGTGTTTTTGTAGCGAAACTCGTCTCTACTTAGAAGAGAGTTTCGGTTGTGTTTGTAGTAACAAAGAAAGTTTAGTTTTTTTTTTTTTTTTTTTTTTGTTATTTCTTTTCGTTCGTGTATCGAACTTGGTTGTTGTAGTATGATGATTCCATTTCGTAGGAGTTCTTGCAATGAAAATTTATATTCGATCGTCTGAATTTGCCTTGTCAATCACCTCCGAGGGCTATAATACTGCTTGAAACTAGAAATAAGTTGCGAAATGTGTACTCAAAATAATTAGTAGAAGTATTCAAGAACAACATTGATTAATTGTCATAATCCCCAGAGTTGAAGTTTCATCTGAGCTTAATCAAAGATTTTATTGATGGTATTACTAAATGTTCTTTGAGCTAACTTCTTGAAGGTCTACAGAGATTCCACCACGATCGGGTACTTGTTCTTAGGCATCCTCACGAGCGTTGGCTGGACAGAATCGTCTTTCTCTAGTGGACTCCACCTGCAATTATCAGTCGGTGACGGTAAAATCACTCAAATGGAAATCGTTGAATTCGTGCACATTATATTATATACTATTTCGTTTGCATTTTATGACCTTTTTCTTAACTAGTTTTCTTACTTATATCTGCAGACCAATTGATGGATGAAAACACAAATCTCCAATTTGGCAAGGTTGATTCCAGGGCACATTCGCGGTCCGCTTCCAAATCCAAGAAAGCTGAAAGGTTTTATCGGCTCCTGAAAAATATATCCGAAAAAAAGGTCATATTTTTTTTTAATCCTTTTTTTCGCATGTTAAGGGATACACTGATTTTGTATATTGAAAAGCTTACGTCGAATCTTGAAGGATCAAACTTCTCTGGATTAGGAAACATCTCCGGGTCGTGGTGTATAGATACCACATCTAAATTCACAGACCAGCCCTTTTCGATTTTGTATCCTAATAAAAGTTCGAAAGCAATGTTAGTATATGCCGAGTGAATTTTAGGATCATAAATTGGTGTATTTAATTTTGTACCATCAATATCGAAATCCTGTGCAGCTTTTCTTGAAAACCAGGGTAATATTGTTGCTCTTCTAAGTGTTTCATTAATGACCTGCAAATTTGATGATAGTTAGTACCCTTTTCAAATTGTCGTAAACACGAAGGAAAAAAAGACGATTTCGCCACAATTGATGAAACCTTTAAAGTGTACGGCATATTGTTCACTTCGGACCAAGTAAGGCTCGATCCATATTCTCTGCTACTTTGAATTTTCTGATGCTCTTCCTGCAAATTAATTAAATCCTTGTTTCTGATTTTTATTTTTTGCTTGTTGCGTTTAAATTTAAAAAAACGGCAACGAAAATAATGTAAAAGATATTACTCGTAGACGTTCTAATGCAGCAGGGTTTTCTCCGAGAAATTTGATCAGCCATGTTAAAGCAGCTGTGGTGGTGTCGTGGCCTGCAACTAATAAGGTCAATATATTGTCCTTTAATTGTTTATCTGTGAGCTTATTATCATCGTCTGCTCCTTCTGAGTTTTCTTTACTGTGCTTCTTTAAAAGGGATCCAAGAAAATCTTGTTGTAACCCTTCTCCGTTTCTTCGTTGGGCAATTGTAGAGTCGAACATTGCATACATCCGATCACGTGCCTATTAAGATTCACAAAAAGTATCAATGTATGTATGTTTCTTAATATTCTTTATCATTTTTTTTTTGTAGTAAATATTTTGTACCTTAATGCCACGATAGAACGCAGTTCCGGGTATTTTAAACGGCAACGAGGCAAAACAAGAAGATATAATCTTGAAATTGCCTCGAAACTTTTCTTGATCTTCTCCGCTCGGCTCTAAGCTCATTATCATGTGGCCTATCACCTTCAATGTGAACTGCAACCAAAAAAAAAATGATCTTTTAGTTAATAAACCTTAAATTCTAAGATTAAATATTATCTCGATTTTGCGAAAAACTCTAACAGTGGAAGCTTCTTCAAGAACCAAAACTCTTCTGCCACACCATTGATCCAAAATCTCTACCGCCAAGCTATTGATAAAAGGGAAGTATTTTTTGAGGCCATCCATCGAGAGGGGTTCGCCTATTAAACGTCTTAATCTCTTGTGTGCTTCTCCGGTTTGTTGAAGCAAGCTCGTGGGCCCCAAAACTTGCTTCCCCGTGTAGAAAAGATTAAGGCTCACTAGTCCATCTTTGCCCGTTAACAGAATCTTGCCTGCTTCTCTCCCAGTCATGAAAACCGTAAATCTCCCTAATACATAACTCTTGAACACTTTTCCATACCTGCGATCACATACATTGCGATTAAGACAAGTTTGTTTCATCAAATGTTATATATTGTTGTTTATTACCTTTGTTGTCTGTTGTGCATGAAGCTGAATATACCGGCTGGATTCGAGAATGAAGATAAGAAAGAGAAACTCTCTCCCACGATAGGCCAGCCTAAATTTCCGGGGATTTTGTCCATTGTTTTGGGGGCACTCCATTTTTGCAGCAGTAAAGCTGAGAAAATGAAGAGAAAGACGAGGGCTACTACAGTTAACATGCCTATCTCCACCTTAAAATTGATTTTTTTTTTCGGATAATGTAATAAGAATGCTTTATTTATCTAGTTCTTTCGGTTTTACGTGACCTCTTTTTCTTGTTGATTTACGGTGGAATCAGAGTGTATATAGTGACAATTCTAAAGTTATAGACTATGACAAAATTTTTGGTGACTATTCTTATGATTACTCATTGATTTGTTAAAGATAGCTCCATTGGAATCTATTTAATTTTTTTTGGGAGGTAATTTGGCATATATATATATATATATATATATATATATATATATATATATATATATATTTTAAGAAGGGATTAATGAACAAAATTAGGTTGTAATAATCTCACATCACATGATAGAGATATTTATTTTGTTTGCCGTCCATGCAATAGCATTGTTAATCATTGGTGATAGGCGATACCAACTTTAATTTCATGTGTCTTATATATTTGTTATGTGCTAGGTAAGATGATTAAACCAAAGCTCAAAACTGATCAAACGGAGTCAGTCTGGCCGTTCGGAATATTCATAGTCATATGCATACATGTTCGGTTATTTGTAAGCCCTAGAAGTCGACGTTATCTAGTGTGTTCTGTGTGTATATATATATATGTAGGTAATAATAAGAAAGAGCAATAATCATCAAATCTGGTACTGCAATATGTATACATATATTTATATATACAAGATCCTAGCTTTACTTATCGTTTCGAAATACGAATTTTACAGCAAATGGTGACTTTAAGTTTGAGATTATAATCAAGCCATCTGATTTCCACCGAGCCTAGGGTTGTTGTTAGGTTCGGAGCGAGGCATGTGAAGCTGTTGTTGTTGCTGCTGTTGTTGGTTCCCGAAGTACCGGACATTTGAAGGGACTCTATTTCCATTGACATTAGAAATTTGGCCAGCTGCAATTTTGAGCCACTGTAGCTCATCCTTCAATGCTTCGTTTAAAGCTACACAAATTCAAGAAAACAAAAAGGCGTTTATAAATTAATTAAGATTTATTAACCAAAACAACATTAAACAAACAACACCGGACATTCTTACCATCTCTGAGGTGTGCTTGCTGCTCTATGGCCTGCAACTTCAGTTTAAGTTCCTTGTTCTCAGATGTTAACCCATTCGTGTCTCTCTGCATAGTTCGACATAGTACGAATGAGTTGAACTTTTTTTTTTTTTTTAATAATATCGTATATTGTTTTTCTCACTCTTGTTTTTTTTTTTCAAGGTTAATTAACTTAGTAGAAGCACATTCACGTAAAAAGAATTAGACGAGGATACATTCTACAATTGTAAGAGAGAATGTAAATATACCTACAGAATTCTGCAGCAGATTCTTGACTGGACATAACTATACTTTCAGTCAATGAACTGTTGACCTTGGAGGGCTAATCTAAACATTATATTCTTCTGATCAACTACTGTTCGTTTCGGTGTGTGCGTATTTATGAAGCTTAGATGAAATTGACTAGACCTTATTCATGGGTGCAAGGGAGTAATACTTTCGAGCATTTTCTATTTAAACTTTTATTGATACAAAAAAATACCAATATTTACATGTAACAAATTCAATTTCATACTCGATCATTTTTTCAGTAATAAGTAAATTACTAATTTGATGGCAGTTGACCATACAACATTTGTTTTGATTTCAATTTTTTGACTACTCGCACAATAGCATCTCTCGGAAAATTAAAAAAATCCAAGTCACAACCAGTTAGATACAGGATGAAATGCATAGCAGCAGCATAAGCCCAAAAGTTAATCTTCTAATTTTGCAATATTAATAGTGCATCACAAGATTTCTTGTTTATCAAAAGACATAATTTAGAGTTACTTCCCGATTCATCACCTTTTTCCTTGCTTGATCGTCAAATTGATAAAAAAGCCTCAACAATAAACAATCCCTTTTATCTATTAAGAATAGAAACCTAGTTGCATACGCAATATGCTTTGTATGTATTTTACTCGATGGAGCTTCAATTGATTTTGAAGAGAAAGCATTAAGCAACGGACATAGAATTTCCATGTCTTGTAATTAAAAAAGTTAAAATTCCGAGCACAATCACATAAAAATCCAGACAGTGCCAAAAAAAAAATATCCGGACAGTGCACAAATACCTGCAACAATGTAATCTGAGCCGAAAGAGTGGTTGCTTCAGTCTGCAGTGTTTGCACTTTCCTCTCAAGCTCGATTGTGTAACGTGTCTTTCTCTCTTTGGATCGTGCTGCAGACTGTCTATTTGCAAGTATTCTACAAAAGATTGCAATATTCGATAAAATCAAATATGCCACATTAGAAACAACTAAACGAGATATATAATATAACTCAAATCAACACTACCCATAACAAGACGAAGGCCAACAAAATATTGCAAGAATAAGTATTTGATTATGTCATATGCATATGTTTCTCGACGCCGAGTTTACGTGATTCTATTACACGTTTTTGCCTTCAATTATTTCAGTATGATTCAATTGATACATATTTTCGGTAACTTGCCCTTTACAATTCAGTTAGGGAGAAAACCCTAGCATACAATAAACTCATAAACACTACAATTCAGTATCACAGGTTAGGGGGTAAAAAGTCAACGGGGTGAAAAATGTCAAACCTTTTAGCTCTTTTAGGGTCAATTAGGGCAAGCTCGGCAAGTGTGCCAGCTGCCATGGCCTTCTTGGTATTCGAGTCCATCTCAGACGACGTCGCACTGGAATACCCATCCATCGAGTTGCTGTGCCTGTGTCTCGGCCTCGAACCGCCTTCCGCCGCCGTCGGCGGCGGCGGTCCGTCCAATCCAAGCCCGTCAAAAAAGTCCGCGTCCACCGACAAGCTCCTTAAATGGGTCAAATGTTTGGTCTCGATTGGCGGCTGGGCCAGCGGCGGCGGGGTTTGGGGTACGTCGAGGTTGAGGTCACCAAACCCGCCGTCGATGAGGATGTCATCGAAGTCAGGGAAGCGGAAGAAGGTCTCTGACTGGGCCCGGCGGTGGTTAGCTCCGCCGCGGCTCGGGGTTTCGAGCATCTGGTCAAGGTCCGTACGGCCCGGTAAGTACGGGTTTCCGGCTCCGGGCTTTCCGACGTACTCCGGTTCCATCAATTCAGTAGCTGAGTTAATCAAATCCGATTGGTGATGAAAAATTTGTGTGTGTATTTTTTGGGGTTTTTTCGGTGGGAGAAAAAGTGGCTCGGTTGTGAAAGCGAGTTGAAAAAAGTTTTGGGGGTAGAATTAAGAATTTAGAATAATATGTGGGACCCACCCACCGTATCGATTTTCAGACAGCAAATGTAGCAGGTGGCGGTTTCGCTGGAAATAAATTGGGCCCGGCCCAAGATATCTGTTTTTTCGATATTATTCCAATTTATGAATAATAGAGGCCCACTATTGGATGAAATTAACTATTGAGTCCAATTAATTCAACATATTAATTTTTTTTCCTTAATTTTCCACAAATAAATGAATTAGGGCAATTTGGTTATGTATTGTAAAAAATAACTTTAGATATCATTAGAATTCGATAGAATGAAGATACATCGACACTAGCTAGAAAAAGAAACGAACACATATATATATATATATATATATATATATATATATATATATTATAGGAAGAATAGAATACGTAATAGAATAGAAACCCCCATTATGTTATGGGTTGATTTACATGAATATATATAGAGAAATATTGCAAGGTAATAGAGTTTGACTAGGTAACTAAATCCTAACTAATCTAGGTAACCGAATCATACTAGAATCCTAATATTACAAGACTTCCATAATATAATATTCTCTAACACGCCCCCGCATTCGAAACGTGACGAACGTGAAGACTGGACAATCCCTTGCTAACACGCTCCCGCAGTCGGAACGAATAAACTTCAAAACGAATAAACTTCAAACGTGCAGTCGGAACGAATAAACTTTCAAAACGAGTAAACTTCAAACGTGAAGACTGGAAACTTCAAACGTGAAGACTGGACACAAACCGCGAAACACATCGCTAGAGAATTCCTCTGTTGAAATATCTGCCAAATTTTAAGAAAATAATAATAATAATAAACGGGTGAGAGAAAAATAAACAACTTTTTTTTTTTTTTTTTTAATCGAGATAGAGAGAAGAGATGAGAGAGGGGTCGCCGGCCATGGAGAAGAAGAGAAGAAGAGAGGCAGCGGCTAGGTTTTAGGCCATGGAGAAGAAGAAGAAGAAAAAGATAGAGAAGATACACCACCGAGAGAGGGAGAAAATTCGGTTTGGTGGTCGCCGGCCATTGAAAAGAAGAGAAGCGGCGGCTAGATTTTAGGCCATGGAGAAGAAGAAGAAGAAGATAGAAAAAGATAGAGATAGAGAAGATGCACCACCGGGGGAGGGAGAAAATTCGGGTGGTGTTCATAGAAAGAATGAGAAGAAAGAAAGATATTAAGAGTACCACCACCGGGGAGGGAGAAAATCGGGTGGTCACCGCCATGGAGAAGAAAGGCGGCTAGGTTAAAAAACCTAAACCTGGTGCTCTGATACCATATAGGAAGAATAGAATACGTAATAGAATAGAAACCCCATTATGTTATGGGTTGATTTACATGAATATATATAGAGAAATATTGCAAGTTAATAGAGTTTGACTAGGTAACTAAATCCTAACTAATCTAGGTAACCGAATCATACTAGAATCCTAATATTACAAGACTTCCATAATATAATATTCTCTAACATATATATATATATATATATATATATATATATATATATATATATATATATATATATATAAACTAAGATTCACTAATTAATTTCGGACACCATTCGAGTGATTCTTTTGGAAGTTCTGTATCGGTTGATCCGGGCATAATCCAAGTTGCAAAGTTCAACTTCTTGAGACCATGCGGATTGTTGCATGAATAACCACCTTCGAAAGAATGATACTTATGTGTATCCAGAGAGTAATAAACAACATTATCGCCATGGAATTTAGGGAAAAAAATCTTGTTCTTCATGCTTTTGCTTCTCACATCAGTTGTATAACCGAAAGAACAACTGTTGCTCACGTAAAATACTCTGTCCCCTAAGTCTTCAACCAATTCCCATGAAAACGTGCTTTTGCTTCTCACATCAGTTGTATAACCGAAAGAACAACTGTTGCTCACGTAAAATACTAAGTCTTCAACCAATTCCCATGAAAACGTCTCTGAGAGACTATATACTTTGACCTCTCTTTCCCCGTGCACGGCAAATACAGCAAAGATTGTTTCCTCGCCTTTAGGTTTAATGAAATAATGCTCTTTAATACATTTACGACTCCAATGTTTCTCAAGACACTCAGGGAGACACTTGGGGAGACAATCGGGGAAGACTTTCCACGAAGATAGCGAGCCATGTTCCCTTATATCAAACGTTGCCACATCTCCATCAGTATCCAAGAAGTACACTAAACCACCATGCAAAATCGGAGGACCGATGGACGACTGAAATATTTGAGATTGGTAAGTACAATTTTCCCACTTATCTTCTCCGTGTTTAAGAACCCCTATATCCACTGTATCGGACCACTGGTCTAATTGGGTGACGATTCCGACAACAAAACAGTCTGGAGAAGTCGGTGGGTGAAAGAAGCAGATGGTAGTGTAGCCGGCACAATTCGAATCGCTAGGTGAGGGCACTTCAATCATATGGTGGTTGAAAGGATGGTAGAAAAAAAGAGTTTCGTCATCACCTCGAGATATCAACAACCACCCATGATTAGCGAAGCGTATTGTTCCGCCTTGGAGTTGGGGAAATTCCATGTAGAAGAAATTGTTGTTCTGAGATAATTTCCAGACATGCTTTTTCTTCCTTTGATTGAACATTAAACACGGGGAATGACGAAACGGTGAAGCTGCGACAACTGTGTTCCAGGATCGACACACTAGGCTGAAATTATGTCTGTCTTTAGCAAACACCTTCGATAGTATCAAATCCACGAGGTCTTGAGGAAGATTATTCCAATCCATTACTTTATAACCTAGAATAAATATTCAAAAAATTGTAATTAATAAGAATCCGATCTTGTTTAATAAGCCTGTTATTCAAAATTGAGAATAAATAAACTATAAATTATCTTTTTTTGTTTTTTTCTCCTTCAGTTACATAGAGAAAAGCATGTATGAAGAGAAAAGCATGCATGAAGATCACGTACGTACCTTGATGATGAATGTAAACTCAGATGGGTTTTTGAGATATTCAGATGTTCAACTCAATGCAATATATATAATATATATATAAGACGTTTGTAAGTTCTTTTTCCTATTCCTATTAGAATTAGAATTAAAATTAATTAGCAGTAACATATATAATTAGGGTTACATTCCTTGTTGGAGATGGTTTAGCCGTTTAGGACTATATTCGGTGGATCTTTCCTAATATTTGTATATTTTCATAATTGGAGTTATTTGTGTATATATACACAAATATTAATTAAGTATCCCTCGAATAGTATATATATATATATATATATATAATTTGACAAATCTTATATAAATATTTTGTATATAGAATATCTGATATTAATTAATTATGACAACTTCTAGATACGCTCACCTAACCTAATTAGATACTACTTGTTATAGATTGATTAGGAGTGTATTGTATTGTAATAGATATATATATAATAGGCCTGCAGCCAACGAGAGAATTGATAAACAAAGTTACTAACTTCTCTCTCTTATTTGTTATTTCTTGAGGTTTTCTTGATAAGTTTTCGGTTTTGCAATTCCTGCAATTTTTTGTCTTTTTTTTCGTTTCTTAATTGGTAACGAAGTGGGAAAACATGGGTAACGAAGCTCCTTCGCTATTTATATTGCACGGTGATTTTAAAGAGAAACAATTAATCTACAACCTTTTAGAGAATGATGTCCGAGTTTTAAATCTTCCCATATTGCAAGGCATGCGTATATTGGCTTCTAGTTACGGATGGCTAGTTCTATCGAATCCAATGACAAATGAATGTTGCCTTTTGAACCCAACATCCATGGAGATAGTTAACCTCCCGCATTTGCCAGTATCATGTGTCTACACCATGTGCATCTTGTCTAAACCACCCACCGATCCTGATTGTCATATTTTATTCAATTTGACTAATTCTTTGGACCAATCTTTTTGTCGGATTGGCGATGAAGAATTTTGTCACGTAAAAGAAATAGATGAAGATGGCAACGCTATGCGCGCACTAAGGGCGGTAGGATCATTTAATGGTACAATTTACGGAATTATTGATCCTGATGATGTAATGGTAACTATTCATTTTGTTGGCAAAACTCTCGAGTTTAGGCCAATAATGACGGTGGATGGTGAGGTTGATGGTGATGAGGACGAGGTCGATGATGATGAGGATGATGACAAAGTCGATGATGATGATGATGATGATGAGGATGATGATGATGACGACTACGACGATGAAGGTTGGTGTATCCCTAAATTGTCACGTCTAGTGTCAAGACCGTACGAGCGTAGGTGGTTGATTGAGTCGCCGCAATCTGCAAGCAGTGGAAAAGTTGAGCTTCTTTTGGTTAAGAAAACATTTTTGTGCAATTATACCGATGAGGGCTTAGATTTTAAAGTTTTTAAAATCGATACGGATGAGATGACTTGCGTGGAGCTAGATGATATCGGGCAACGGGCGATTTTTGTGAGTCACCATGGTGGTGGATTTTGTTGTTCATCATCTACAAAAATCAAGCCGAATTCGATATATTATACGGATCAATATGGGAGGTATCTATACATATATGAATTGGAAGATAGTACTACAACTTCGTTGCTGCCATCTGATCTTGCCGATTGCGATTCAGTGATTTCTTGGGTCGAGCCCCAAGTCGTCTTTCCACAAATTCTTCAGCACTAATATTTTTTTTATAGATTTTTTTTTATATAGGTATGTACTGTTTATTTCTTAGCTAGGTTTTTCTGTTTTTTTTTTTTTGTTATTAAGTACTATTATGAGGTGATTATTATATAATATATTCTATTAGTATCAATATATAGATTTGGTGCTTAAATTTCTTTCAGATCGATGTGACCAATTTCAGTTTTGTTCTCACTTCAGTGTTTAAATGTGGCTAATAGAAGTTGCTCTGTGCAGTGCGTGTAAAATTCTTTTTTAAACAACCCTTTTTATTTTTTAGGGTAATTTATCATTTATTTTTAAGTTGACCTTATCAGAGATGTTGCACTACAGTCTACATGAAATAAAATCTACACTTACAATATCAATTTTATAATGTGTATTATATCATAAGTCAATAAAAAATAAATTTTCAGAGTCTGCAAATTCCAATTGAAAAAATTCGATTATGGAACAAGCCTTTTCATTCAAATATCGGAACGTAAATGGTATAAGCTATTCGCTTCTAATAAAATGATTGTTTATACGACAAAATTACGATATTGCCCAATCGTTTGCTCGCCTCGTCGGTTTGAGGCTCGATTCTGGATCGGGGTCACAATTCCCAATGCGGCAGGAGTTGCTAACCAGTTTGTACGTCGATACTCGGTCCTCCAAAATTCATTTGCACATGATCGAGACGGCTCTTGACCGATCTTGATGTCGAAGAATATGACAAAGACTATTGCGGGTGGAGCGATATACACTAACCCTTGTTTATCTATTCACTTAGTTGAGTGTGCTCAAGCCATCTTAACAAAATCGAGCCGATGACTGCCTTAGTTGAATTAAGCCGATATTTTTCTTCGATATATGTAATTATACCGTGTCACGTACAATATTGTGATTATTCTCAATTATTGGCTAAATTTGTTCTGTCATTTTTAAGATCATTGTATCTTTTGTTTAGTGATGGTAATCTTGAATTGTATTTGTGCTTGGAAAAGATTATTATACCTCGTATTCTCCGAATGGATCGTAGTATAAGTACTTTTCATAACTTCTTAACAAAACTCGTTCGAGGTCCATATTTGGTCCAGGTCCGTAAAGCCCGGTGCGTACAAGTTTTAAGTTCCCGTCTTTCCGGCGTACTCCGGTTCCATCGATTCAGTGGCTGCATGAATCAATTCGATAAGTGATTGAAAATTTGTGTGTGCATGTGTGTTTTGGATTTGTCGGGTATAGGAGAAAAGAGTGGTTAGGTTGTGAAAGCGAGTTGAAAAAAGTTTTGGGGGTAGAATTGAGAATTTAGAATAATATGTGGGACCCACCGTAGCAGATGTGGCAGGTGGCGGTTCGCTGGAAATGAATTGGGCCCGGCTCAAGAAATCTGCTTTTTCGATATTATTCCAATTTATGAATAATAAAGGCCCACTCTTGAATGAAATTAACTGTAGTTTATGTTACTTTATAATAACCTAAAAAAATATTCAAATAATTATACAGTTAAATATTTATATATTTAGCGAACTATTAAATTGTCGAGTTAATAATTTAATACTAGTTTACCAAATTGAAATCGAAAAAAAATATTATTTAAGCAAGATTATTAATTTATCGAGTTTCTACTGTAATTAATAAGAATCTATTTTTTTAATCCGCTGTTATCAAAAATTGAGAATTTACATAAAGAAAAGCATGCATGAAGATCACTTACCTTGATGATGAATGTAGACTCAGATGGGTTTTGAGATATTCAGATGTTCAACTCAATATAATTCAATATATATATATATATATATATATATATATATATATATATATATATATATATATATATATATATATATATATATATATATATATAAAGAGGTAAGTTCTTTTTTATATTCCTATTAGAATTAGAATTAAAACTTGCACCAGTTTTAATTAAAACTAATTAGCTGCATGCAACATATATAATTAGGGTTACATTCCTTGTTGGAGATGGTTTAGCCGTTTAGGAGTATATTCGGTGGATCTTTCCTAATATATATATATATATATATATATATATATATATATAATTAAATAATTTGACAAGTATTATATAAATATTGTATATATATTATATATTGTATTAATTAATTATGGTTACAACTCCTAGATACACTTAGCTAATTAACCTAAATACTTGTTAGAGATTGATTAGGAGTGTATTGTAATAGATATATAATAGGCGGCCTGGTTGTTTTTTCTCGAGAGAATTGGATAAACAAAGTTGATTATATTTCTCTTTTTTGTGTTATTTCTCGAGGCTTTCTTGATAGTTTTTCGGTTTTGCAATTCCTGCAATTCTTTGTTATTTTTTCTTTGCCTGGTAACGAAGTGGGAAAACATGGCGTACGAAGCTCCTTCGCTATTTATGTCGCACGGTGATTCTAAGGAGAAACAATTAATCTACGATCTTTTGGAGAACGATGTCCGAGTTTTAAATCTTCCTATATTGCAAGGCATGCGTATATTGGCTTCTAGTTACGGATGGCTAGTTCTATCGAATCCAATGACAAACGAATGTTGCCTTTTGAACCCAATATCCATGGAGATAGTTAACCTCCCGTATTTGCCAATATCATGCGTCTACACCATATGCATCTTATCTAAACCACCCACCGATCCTGATTGTCATATTTTATTCAATTCGGCTAATTATTTGGAGCAATCCTTTTGTCGGATTGGCGATGAAGAATTTTGTCACGTAAAAGAAATAGACGAAGATGGAGAAAATTTTCGCCTACTAAGGGCAGTAGGATCATTTAATGGCACAATTTACGGAATTATTGATCCTGATGATGTAATGGTAACTATTCATTTTGTTGGCAAGACTCTTGAGTTTAGGCCAATAATGACGGTGGATGGTGGGGTTGACGGTGACGAGGATGAGGATGAGGTCGATGATGACAAGGACGAGGTCGATGCTGATGAGGATGATGATGATGAGGACGATGCTGATGAGAATGATGATGACGAGGACGATGCTGATGAGAATGATGATGACGAGGATGATGACGAGGACGAGGTCGATGATGAGGATGATGAGCGTTGGTGTATCCCTGAATTGTCATGTCAAGTTTCAAGACCGTACGAGTATATGTGGTTGATTGAGTCGCCGCAATCTGCATGCAGTGGAGAAGTTGAGCTTCTTTTGGTTAAGAAAACATATTTGTGCAATTATATCGATGATGGATTGGATTTTAAAGTCTTTAAAATCGATACGGATGAGATGACTTGTGTGGAGCTAGATGATATCGGGCAACGGACGATTTTTCTAAGTCACCATGGTAGTGGATTTTGTTGTTTATCTTCGACAAAAATCAAGTCCAATTCGATATATTATACGGATCGCTATGGAAGGTATCTATACATATATGAATTGGAAGATAGTACTACAACTTCGTTGTTGCCATCTGATCTTGCCGATTGCGACTCAGTGATTTCTTGGGTCGAGCCCGAAGTCGTCTTTTCACAAATTATTCAGGAGTTATAATTTTTTTTTAATGTTTATTTCTATGGTTTTTATGTTTTTTATTTTATTTTTTATTTTGTTATTATAGTCCAAAAATACTATTATGAGATGATTATTATATAATATATTCCATTAGTCTTTTTATTTTATTTTTTGATAGGCAAATTCCATTAGTATATCATACATACTCGACAAGTTAAAATGCAATGTATATAAAGATTTATTCGAACTAATCAAGATTTGTAATATAACTCAGAACAATACTACCCATAAAATAATCGAACTATACATAACAAGATGAACATCAACAAAATATTGCAAGAATAATTATTTGATTCTACCATATACATATATTTATGATGTTTCTTGAATCAAAACGACCAACTCGACACCGAGTTACGAGATTCTACCAAATGTTTTTGCTTTCAATTATTTCAGTATGCTTCAATCGATACATATTTTCGGTAACTTGCTCTTTGCAATTCAGTTACGTCGGGGTTGAGGTCACCTAATACGTCGTCGATGAGGACGTCGTCGAAGTCAGGGGAGTGGAAGAAGGTCTCGGAGTGGGCGCCGCCGCGGCTCGGGGTTTCGAGCATCTGGTCCAGTTCCGTACAGCCTGGCGAGTACGGGTTGCCGGCTCTGGGCTTTCCGATGTACTCCGCTTCGGTAGCTGACTGAGTCAATTCGACAAGTGATGAGTCAAATGAACTGTTTCCAATTAATTCAAAATATTTATAAAAAAAAAAAATCCCCCTGATTTGGATGGGGAAAAAACATCAAGTTAAAAAGAGGGGTGGGGGAGATAAATTCCAATTTTACACGGCTCAAATTTCTAAAATGGAAAACTAAATTAATAACCAATTTTTATTATACTTTCTTGATTCGTATATACGTAGCACGAAAACTTTACTTTTTTAATATGTCATAACTATTTACTTGATTTAATGCTAAATTGCAAACTGATAGTTAATAATAGTATTCGTTTTGAATATACTTGTATGGAAATTTATAAAAAATAATTTATATATAAATAAAACTTATATATGCTTAACTCGCATATCTATAAATATGTCTCTATACTTTTAATATTTACACATTTTCCTCAAATTCCCGTATCTTCGTTTTTTGGATATGTCGCTTCCTTGTGTCCGTTTTCCCATATCGCCATTTCCTTCTTTGTATCGCCGTTTTCGTGCTACGTATTTTCGTAGTCAATATGTTTTATTTCTTCTATATTTATACTTGATAATGGGCCTATAAGATGTTACTCCTTGTTAAATACTCCGGCTGATTTTAAACTGTATATTTATACGAATAACCACCTACTAAGTACACATACACAATTTGTGTATTATTATGTATAAAATCTGTTGTTTAAAATTACCACGTGTATTTCACCGAGTGTAGCATCTACAAAACCTCGATAATGGTCTGCCCAAGGGTAAAGTTTGAAATGAAATTTCCTATATTTTGATCCAAATTTTCCGATTTTAAATCATCTTAGTTTTTTCGAAAAGATTAAAAAATTCAGATTTACGATTTTTTTTTCAATTTTCTTTTATAGGAATTAAAATGAGATGTCAGTTCATGATACGATTTAAATTTTCGAAAATAATTAAGAAAAATCAGTACTTTTTTTAGTTATACTTATAATATCATCATATTATTAGGGTAAATTACAACCACCCCTCTGAGGTATGGTCAATTTACAAAAAACCCCTCTTACTTGGATAATTACATCTATCCCCCTCAACTATGATTATTTCTTACATTTCCACTTTTATGGTTTCAAATTCAACATAATCTTCTAGATTTCGCGGAATTTGCTCTAGTTTGTACTCGTTTTGTGTAAAAATACAGTTTCAGAGGCACCACAATCTGGTATATGCAAGCCAAAAAAACACATATTATGATCATCTTGCTTCAAAATGTGGAGATCGAACAGGATAGAACGGGTACAAAAGTGATAATATTCCATATAATCTGGAAGATTCCACTAAATTTGAAACCGCAAGGGTTGACGTTTAAGAAGATTTATAGTTGAGGGGTAATTGTAATTGCCTAAACAAAAAGGGGATTTTCGTAATTTGACCATACCTTAGGAATTGTTGTAATTTACCCTTATTATAATCATTATTCCTTTGTATATTTTAGGTGACCTATAATTTGGAGGTTATGCATGATACAATTGACGAAGTGTAATTTTCGAAACTCGGATTGTTTTCGGAAATTAAAATCGGATATGAAATCAAAATCTCACATACAATACCAATCATGATAAAAAAATAAAAATCGGAAAAACCGGAAACCAAAATTTACAGAATTTATTGTCGGAAACAGAAAATTTCGTTCCAACTTCCACCCGTTCAAAATATAGAACGTATGTCTTTATTCGAACAAATAATTTTCTGACAAAAATAATAATAAAAAAAAGGTACAAAATACGAAATATGGAAAAACAACGGGCTTTGTTTTTATTTCGCATGTAACGCATACATTTTGGAGAATTTTATTAACAATAATTCCCAAAAATTAACTAAGTTGAAGCAATCCCAGTTAGTTAATTTAAATTTAAAAGTAAATAAGCCCACCCCGCCAAAAAAAAACAATCTACTATATATTAGGGTTTCGCCATAATACAACACAGGGCAGAGAGAATTCCACATATTTGATTCAAGAGAAGATTCACCCGAGGTGAGACTCTCACACAATTAGGGTTTTTTTTTTCATTTGCATGAACATAATTACGGTTTTTTTCTTCTTTTTTTAATCATAATGCGTGGGTGATTCATTGAATTGAAATAAATGAGATCTTTGATTTTTTTTTAATCATAATGCGATGAAGAAACAGTAGGTGGTGGGTGATTCATTTGCATGAACATATTTGTTTTTTTCTTTATTATTATTATTTTATTATTATTTTTTTTATGTATCATAATGCGATGAATTAGGGTTTAATTTGATGTATTTCAATCATATAATTGTGCGATGTATCCCAAGAATTAGGGTTCCTTCGTGTGTCTGTATTGTATTATGAATTTCACCGAATCGAATCGAGTGGAAACGACGTTCGAATTCGGTTCAGATCACCGTAGCTAGTGCAGACTTATAATCTTGATGTTTTGAGAAAGAAAGAAAATGAAACGATAATTTATCGGTTACTTTTTTACAATGCAGGTTAACTTTAAGAAAAAACGAGATCTCAACAAGCATGACGAAAAAGACAAAGAACAAGGCAAAAGAGATCGAAAAAATGTTCGACAAATCAAACAGAATCGTGCAATCCGAGGCACATATAAATGTGATACCCTTCCAGTGCCCCCACTGTGAGTTTCTACTCCAGATGGACAAATATCTAGAGGTCGCTCACGTTAAGGAATGCCGAATTACGAAGAATAGTCGTATCGGCATGAAAAAAAAAATGAAGATCGAACAAGTTACCGTAGTTTTTGTTCTTCTTTTCTATCGAACATGTTGAGTTGCAGGTTTCTAAACCAATTAATCTAGTTAGTTTTTTTTCTTACTGTCGAAAAAGTTCGAGCGTTGCACGTTCTATTATCGATGTGTTTCTAGTTCGCGACTAGTCGATAAGTGATGTGTGAAAACGAGTTTCAACAAGGAACTTTTCAAGTGGAGTTTAGAAAATTTAAATCTAATCTGTCGGCAAGTAATCTTGGTTTACCTCGTTTGAGAATAAGCAAATCTTCATTCAGGTAGAAGTTTAAATTCCATTTAATTACTCGTAGTAAGCAATTCCAATTCTAAGTATATTAGCTGGTGTTTTGCTTAAGCAAGTTATGGTACCAAAAATGTGCGTAAATACAATTATCACAAGTTATAATTGCCAGAAAACTTACCTGTCATATTTCCGAGATAATCGATCAACAAAGACGAATAGCTCTGTAAGAGAAAAATGCAGAATAAGTAAATAAACTATAAATATGTTTCCGGGCCACATTTTTCCATTTTAAGAAATATAGAAACAAGTAAAGTGCAAACGAGCGGTAGTGAAAAATGTCATAAGAATTGATTCCGTATTTGAGGTTTCCTAATTACACATCTTCATTTAGCTAATCTTTCATCTAGTATTTTTCTTGCTATTGAAAAAGTTTGAGAGCTACAGGTTTTACGACTGGTGTTTTTAACCACTTGACCTATTTAGTATTTTTCTTGCTACCGGACAAGTTTGAGAGTGGCAGGTTTTACGACTGGTTTTTAACCACTTGATCTAGTTAGTATTTTTCTTGCTACCGGACAAGTTTGAGAGTGGCAGGTTTTACGACTGGTTTTTAACCACTTGATCTAGTTAGTATTTTTCTTGCTATCGAACAATTTTGAGATCTGCATGTTTCAAGACTGTTTTTTTACCACTTGATCTAGTTAGTGTATTTTTCGATACTGATCATTTATCTTCTTGCCAATTAACCAAAGAGAATGCGAGTAATCAGTTGGTGTTTGCTTAAGCAAGTTTTGGTACCGTAAATACAGTTATAACAAGTTTAAATTGCCAGAAAACTTACACGCAAAACGGCTAGCTGACCGTATAGCAGATATTCTGATGCAAACCGACTCTTGAAACATAGCCTGTCATATTTCAGGGATAACTGATCAAGACGAATAGCTCTCTAGAATAAACTATTACGCACTAATACTATACACTTTAAGAAATATAGAAACGAGTAAAAGTGCAAACGAGCGGTAGTGAAAAAAATGTTATAAGAACCAATTCCATATTTGTACTGCTTTTCCGCATTCAAGAGATGTGCTCAACAATTCGTATAGTTCATGTTACAATCTAGTCAGCATAATGTCAATTCTCATAGTTGATGTTACAATCTTGTCAACATAATGTCTATTTTTACGCTCTCGTTTTCTTACCCCAGATGAATATAAAAACGAAAGAAAAAACTACATCGAAACATTCATCTCACTATACCATGAGACTTGTTGGTAAATATCAGGGTGGCAAACCCAGAAGCCGTAAATTAGAACAAAAGGCAGACAAATCTACTCGGTGCTAACTTTAATAAAACGAAATCTAAGGCCCCGTTAGGTTGGCAAGATAAGATTAGCCAAGATAAGATTAAATAATCTAATGAAACCCAATTATTTTATTGGAGTTTGCAACGTCCAACAAAAAAAAGCTCATTAGAAGGCAAGATAAGCCATGATTATATAATTTTGGCGGGTCGACCCGGCAATTTATTGGGGATACCAAACATCAAATTAAGTCCAACTATTTAATTAATCATGGCAACCAAACGGGGCCTAAGTTAGAGATATAACGAATGGAGTTAGAGAGCCATGCCTATATGAACTCATTCAACTTATGAAACTAAAATTACAATTCGATCAACAGTTCTTCTATCTCCTATCCAATATTAAACGGTTTCAAGATTGAATGATGTCTGAAATTAGCAGTAATTTCTAACCATTAAACTATCATTATATTAATAACTAGAAAAAAAAAAGAAGATTACCTTCAAGAACTGAATATAATCACCAAAATTTTTCGATAAACCGGGCTCACTAAGCAGCTCCATATCCACCAAATTTGCACCTGCGTTTACATACAAAATTATTAATAAATCAAACCTTCAAACAAATTACAATAAAGGGAAAATCAAGATTTGATTTTTAACAGCAAATAATTGACAGAGAAAATCAAGATTTGATTTTTAACAACAAATAATTGACATAGAGTGGAATTTACAACAAAAATCAAACCTTTAGAGAAATATTTTCATAAAACAAACCTTCAAACAAATTACAATAAAAGGAAAATTAAGATTTGATTTTTAACAGCAAATAATTGACACATAGTGGAGAATTTACGATAAAAATCAAACCTTTAGAGAATTATTTTCATAAAACAAACCTTCAAACAAATTACAATAAAAGGAAAATTAAGATTTGATTTTTAACAGCAAATAATTGACACATAGTGGAGAATTTACGATTAAAAATCAAACCTTTAGAGAATTATTTTCATAAAACAACCTTCAAACAAATTACAATAAAAGGAAAATCAAGATTTGATTTTTAACAGCAAATAATTGACACAGAGTGGAGAATTTACGATAAAAATCAAACCTTTAGAGAAATATTTTCAAATCAACAACTGATCATACAAATCTTAAACATAAATTCACAGTTTACACACAAAAAAAATAAAATTAATTCTTTTAAACAAACTTACATATTTGAAGCGAGATCTGTGTCGTAGAGCAAAAAACCTAAGGTCGATCGATTCAGGGGATTCCGTACTTTGTTTGTCGTAGGATTCATTGAATTTTAATCGTTGCCTGCCCTAACATTCGATGGAATTAAGGTTTTGTTTAATTGCGTTCCCCTAATGTTAACCTTAGGTTTAAATGTTAACCTTAATGTTCAGTTTTAAGGTTTTATTTTCAAATTGGCCGGCCCATCTAATTTCAAAACACGTGTGCAGTTACAACCGGCCCATCTAAATCAGGCCTCTTTCGGGTTATTTTAATTTTAATTTTAATTTTGATTTTGATTTTAACATTTACTTTACTTTACCTTAACTTAGTGTTTTTTACTCTTTTTTTTTTTATTTCAATATAATTTATTATTCAATTTAAGATCACTTCAAATACCCTATGCAACACGGAAACTTCAATTGCGTAATGTTTTCGCATTTTACACATGTTGCGTGTCCGATACTCTAGGATACTTGGAGGACAACTTATGAGCAGTTTTGCAATTTCTGAAAAGTTAAAAATATGTTTGAATAACATTTTTTAAATATTTTGTTGATTCTCTAATTATTTATATTATTTAATGATCAGTCGCAACTTGATAGTTAATAGTAAAATTTATTTTGAAACTGTTTGTATGAAAATATATAAAATAATAATAATTTATATATGAATAAAAACTTATATACTATCAACCCTCATTAGGAGAGTTGGTACCTAGCCTTTACCAATAGGGTAACGGTCTAGGGTTCGAGTCCCCCCCTCCCCTACTTCCCCTTGTAATGGACTTGAATTTACTCAAAAAAAAAAAAAAAAACTTATATACTATGTTTATATCGCATATGTATAAATATATCCCTATACTTATAATATTTACACGTTTCTCCCAAGCTTCTGTATCCAATTTTTTGAAACATGTTGTTTCCACGTATTCGTTTCCCCATTTCTATGTATCGCGGTTTCTGTATCCACGCTACATAGCAAATATTTTCTAGTAATTTAACAATAAATAGACAATTTTCCTAGGAAAAATTAACTTGAAACTATTACTTTACAGTATCGGATAAACAATTTTTTTAGTTTGAATTTAAATTGAGTATCAAGTAATTTTATTTGTGCAATCAAACAAAAGAGATAGCCCGAAGCACTAATTAAAACTTGCTTTCATCAAACAATATGTTGTGGAACTAAAGGCTCCTCAAATAAATGAATTAGCTATGGCAATTTATTGTTAGAATCAATTACTCTAGATATTATTAAAATTCGAAAGTATGAATTAACACATCGACATTATAATAAGGATTGAAAACATAACATAAAAGACATAAGGAAAATAAACCATCATTAAGATCAACTTAATTTTGGATACCATTCCAATGATTCTTTTCGAATTTGTGAATCAGTCGATCCCGGCATAATCCAAGTTGCAAAGTCCAATCTTTTAAGACCGTGCGGATTGTTGCTTGAATAGTCCCCTTCAAAAGAATGATACTTCTGTGTATCTAAAGAGTAGTAAACAACATTATCACCATGGAATTTCGACAAGAAAATCTTGTTCTTCATGCTTTTGCTCTTCGCATCAGTTGTATACCCGAAAGACGAAGTGTTGCTCACGTAAAATACTCTGTCCCCTATATCTTTAACCGGTTCCCATGAAATCGTGTCTGATAACTTAAATATTTTGACCTCTCTTTCCCCGTGCATGGCAAATACACCAAAAATAGTTTCCTCGCCTTTAGGTTTAATGAAATAATGCTCTTTAATACATTTACGATTCCAATGTTTCTCAAGACACTTAGGGGGACACTTGGGGAGACAATCGGGGAAGACTTTCCACGAAGATAGCGAGCCATGTTCCCTTATATCAAATGTTGCCACATCTCCATCAATATCCAAGAAGTACAATAAACCACCATGCAAAATCGGAGGACCAATGGACGATTGAAATTTTTGAGATTGGTAAGTACAATTTTCCCACTTGTTTTCTCCGTGTTTAAGAACCCCTATATCCACTGTATCATAACCCACGTCTATTTGGGTGGCGATTCCAACTATAAAACAATCTGGAGAAGTCGGTGGGTGAAAGAAGCAGATGGTAGTGTAGCCGGCACAATTCGAATCGCTAGGTGAGGGCACTTCAATCATATGGTGGTTGAAAGGATGGTAGAAAAAAAGAGTTTCGTCATCACCTCGAGATATCAACAACCACCCATGATTAGCGAAGCGTATTGTTCCGCCTTGGAGTTCGGGGAATTCCATGTAGAAGAAATTGTTGTTCTGAGATAATTTCCATACATGCTTTTTCTTCCTTTGGTTGAACATTAAACATGGCGAATGACGAAACGGTGAAGCTGCGACAACTGTGTTCCAGGATCGACACACTAGGCTGAAATTATGTCTGTCTTTAGCGAACACCTTCGATAGTATCAAATCCACGAGGTCTTGAGGAAGATTATTCCAATCCATTACTTTATAAATTAAACTAGAAAAAATATTCAAAAATTGTAATTAATAAGAATCTGATCTTGTTGAATCAAAAATTGAGAATAAACATGCATGAAGAGAAGATCACGTACCTTGATGGTGAATGTAAACTCAGATGGGTTTTTGAGATATTCAGATGTTCAACTCAATGCAATATATATAATATATATATAAGACGTTTCTAAGTTCTTTTTCCTATTCCTATTAGAATTAGAATTAAAATTAATTAGCAGTAACATATATAATTAGGGTTACATTCCTTGTTGGAGATGGTTTAGCCGTTTAGGACTATATTCGGTGGATCTTTCCTAATATTTGTATATTTGCATAATTGGAGTTATTTGTGTATATATACACAAATAATTAAGTATCCCTCGAATAGTATATATATATATATATATATATATATATATATATATATATATATATATATATATATATATATATATATATATATATATATATATATATATATATATATATATATATATATATATATATATATATATATATATATATATATATATATATATATATATATATATATATATATATATATATATATATATATATATATATATATATATATATATATATATATATATATATATATATATATATATATATATATAATTTGACAAATCTTATATAAATATTTTGTATATAGAATATCTGATATTAATTAATTATGACAACTCCTAGATACGCTCACCTAACCTAATTAGATACTACTTGTTATAGATTGATTAGGAGTGTATTGTAATAGATATATATAATAGACCTGCAGCCAACGAGAGAATTGATAAACAAAGTTATTAATTTCTCCCTCTTCTTTGTTATTTCTTGAGGCTTTCTTGATAGTTTTTCGGTTTTGCAATTCCTGCAATTTTTTGTCTTTTTTATCGTTGCTTAATTGGTAATAACGAAGTGGGGAAACATGGGTAACGAAGCTCCTACGCTATTTATATTGCACGGCGATTTTAAAGAGAAACAATTAATCTACAACCTTTTCGAGAATGATGTCCGTGTTTTAAATCTTCCTATATTGCAAGGCATGCGTATATTGTCTTCTAGTTACGGATGGCTAGGTCTATCGAATCCAATGACAAATGAATGTTGCCTTTTGAACCCAACATCCATGGAGATAGTTAACCTCCCGTATCTGCCAATATCATGCGTCTACACCAAATGCATCTTGTCTAAACCACCCACCGATCCTGATTGTCATATTTTATTCAATTCGGCTAATTCTTTGGAGCAATCCTTTTGTCGGATTGGCGATGAAGAATTTTGTCATGTAAAAGAAATAGACGAAGATGGAGAAAATTTTCGCCTACTAAGGGCAGTAGGATCATTTAATGGCACAATTTACGGAATTATTGATCCTGATGACGTAATGGTAACTATTCATTTTGTTGGCAAGACTCTTGAGTTTAGGCCAATAATGATGGTGGATGGTGAGGTTGACGGTGACGGTGACGGTGACGAGGATGAGGATGAGGTCGATGATGACAAAGACGAGGTCGATGTTGATGAGGACGGTGCTGATGAGAATGATGATGATGAGGATGATGACGAGGACGATGCTGTTGAGGATGACGAGGTCGATGATGAGGATGATGAGCGTTGGTGTATCCCTGAATTGTCATGTCAAGTTTCAAGACCGTACGAGTATATGTGGTTGATTGAGTCGCCGCAATCTGCATGCAGTGGAGAAGTTGAGCTTCTTTTGGTTAAAAAAACATATTTGTGCAATTATATCGATGATGGATTGGATTTTAAAGTCTTTAAAATCGATACGGATGAGATGACTTGTGTGGAGCTAGATGATATCGGGCAACGGGCGATTTTTGTGAGTCACCATGGTAGTGGATTTTGTTGTTCATCTTCGACAAAAATCAAGTCCAATTCGATATATTATACGGATCGCTATGGAAGGTATCTATACATATATGAATTGGAAGATAGTACTACTACCTCGTTGTTGCCATCTGATCTTGCCGATTGCGACTCAGTGATTTCTTGGGTCGAGCCCGAAGTCGTCTTTTCACAAATTATTCAGGAGTTATAAATTTTTTTACTGTTTATTTCTATGGGTTTTTTTTTTCTTTTTTTTTTGTTATTATAGTCCAAAAATACTATTATGAGATGATTATTATATAATATATTCCATTAGTATATTTTTATTTTGATAGGCAAATTTCATTAGTATATTATACATACTCGACAAGTTAAAATGCAATGTATATAAAGATTTATTCGATATACTCTGGGTTAATCGTGCTGACTGCTGCAGATTGTCTATATGCAAGTATTCTACAATGCCACATTACACACAACTAATCAAGATTTGTAATATAACTCAGAACAATACTACCCATAAAATAATCGAACTATACATAACAAGATGAACATCAACAAAACACATCAACAAAACATTGCAAGAATAAGTATTTGATTCTACCATATACGTATATTTATGATGTTTCTTGAATCAAAACGACCAACTCGACACCGAGTTACGAGATTCTACCAAATGTTTTTGCTTTCAATTATTCCAGTACGATTCAATCGACATATTTTCGGTAACTTGCTCTTTGCAGTTCAGTTAGGGAGAAAACCCTAGCAATAGCATGAATTCCAAATTTCCAATTTAAAAAAAAAAAAAAGCAATTAACTCACAAACACCACAATTCATCATCACATGTTAGGGGGGAAAAGTCAACGGGTGAAAAAGGTCAAACCTTTTGGAGACTGTATTTCGGGGTTTCAAGCATCTGGTCCAGTTCCGTACGGCCTGGCGCGTACGGCTTGTCAAATTGCTAAAATGGAAAACTAAATTAATAACCAATTTTTATTATAATTTCTTGATTCGTATATACGTGGCACGAAAACTTTACTTTTTAATATTTCATAACTATTTACTTGATTTAATGCTAAATTGCAAATTGATAGAAAATTTGGTGAAGGGGGGCTTAAGATAAAAATGTGATATGAATTTTTTTTTTTTTTTCACTTTCAGAAGATAACACCAAAACGAATCGCGACAACTAAATTGCTATGAAAATTTAAGAAACATGAATATCAAGTCGATCATCAAATTGACACAAATACGACTTCTAATTGATATCCAATCTGAAAATTAAGATGAGAGAGAAGTTGTCAAATGCTAAACAATTGTCGGTTGGTGGTAATTTAACCGCTATTAGTGTGAGTGTGAGAGAGAACAAAGTTTTTTATTTTATTTTTCAAGAAATATAACGAAGTTGAGGAATAGAAGATGAGAGCAAGTCAAGCATGGGGACTTTCACTAAGTGAACTAAAAATAAGTGAATCTAAATAATATAATTGACTAAAATAAAAAAATAAATAGGATATATATATATATATATATATATATATATATAATGTGAAAAAAATTGGAAGTGAGGGGGAGCTTGAATCCAAACTAGCCCTTGGGTGGACTCACCCTGCTTGTATGGAAATTTATAAAAAAGAATTTATATATAATTAAAACTTATATATGCTTAAATAGCATATCTATAAATATGTCCATATACTTTTAATATTTACACGTTTTCCTCAAATTCCCGTATCTCGTTTTTTGGACATGCTGCTTCCTCGTGTCCGTTTTCCCATACCGCCATTTCCTTCTTTGTATCGCCATTTTCGTGCTACGTATTTTCGTAGTCAATATGTTTTATTTCTTCCATTTTTATACTTGATAATGGGCCTATAAGATGTTACTCTTGGTTAAATACCCCGGGTGATTTTAAACTATATATCTATACGAATAACTACCCACTAAGTACACATATATAATTTGTGTATTATTATGTATAAATCTCCTGTTTAAAATTACCACGTGTGTTTCACCGGGTATAGCATTTACAAAACCTCGATAATGGTCTGCCCAAGGGTAAAGTTTGAAATGAAATTTCCTATATTTTGATCCAAATTTTCTGATTTTGGAATCATCTTTGTTTTTTCGAAAATATTAAAAAAGTCAGATTTACGATTTTTTTTTTTCAATTTTCTTTTATAGGAATTAAAATGAGATGTCAGTTTATGATACGATTTTAATTTTCAAAACTAATTAAGAAAAATCAGTACTTTTTTGAGTTATACTTATAATATCATCATTATTATTGGGTAAATTACAACCACCCCTCTAAGGTATATTCAAATTTACAAAAAACCCTTCTTATTTGGATAATTACATCTATCTCCCTCAACCATGATTATTTCTTACATTTCCACTCTTATGGTGTCAAATTCAACAAAATCATACAGTAGAACCTCGATAAATTAATACCCGATAAATTAATAACCTCGCTTAAATAATAAATTTTCCCGGTCCCGACTCGGGGACAACGTGCTAAATTAATAATTCGCTAAATTTATAAGATAATACACATTCGAAATTTTTAAGAAGCCCCATATAAAATATAAATTAATAATTCATAAAAATAATTCTTATATTCTATGGTACAATACATATTTTATAGACCTATGAAAGTTTAATAAAATATAATTTAATTGTCGTTTGTTTCTTGTTGAAGTTCACATACCATCAATCTCGTGCCTCACTTTTTCTTAACATGGTTAGAACTTGTGGTATAGCTTTCGAATAACTCAACATGAATTGTTCAATACCATTGTTGCTTTAAGAGTTTTCGTTCGTGAAACGGGCTATATATTGCATTGAACTAATGTTACAATGAATAATATACACGTAAAAAATTAAAAAAAACAAGTATTTATTGAAAATAATAATAAAAATAATTTCATAAATTAATAAATTATTAATTAATGTATAAATTAATAATTATTAATTTATCAATAAGTTAATATTTCGCTAAATTAATGAAATTGTGATGGTCCCAACTGTATTAATTTATAGAGGTTTAACTGTATATATTTCGCGAAATTTGCTCTAGTTTGTACTCGTTTTGTGTAAAAATACAGTTTCAGATGCACCACAATCTGATATATATAAAAGCCAAAAAAACACATATTATGATCATCTTGCTTCAAAATGTGTAGTTGATAAAACGGGTACAAAAGTGATAATATTCCACATAATCTAGAAGATTACACTACATTTGAAACCGCAAGGGTAGATGTTTAAGAAGATTTATAATTGAGGCATAGTTGTAATTACCCAAACAAGAGGGGATTTTCGTAATTTGACCATACCCAGGGATGGTTATGATTTACCCTTATTATAATCATTATTCCTTTTTATATTTTAGGTGACCTATATTTTGGAGGTCATGCATGATAGTATTGACATAAAGTGTAATTTTCGAAACTCAGATTGTTTTTGGAAATTAAAATTGGATATGAAATCAAAATCTCACATACAATACCAATCATGATAAATAAATAAAAATCGGAAAAACCGGAAACCAAAACTTACAGAATTTATTGTCGGAAACAAAAAAATTCGTTCCAACTTCCACCCGTTCAAAATATAGAATGTATGTCTTTATTCGAACAAATAATTTTCTGTCAAAATTAATAATAAAAAAAAGGTACGAAATAGGAAATGTGGAAAACAACGGGGTTTGTTTTCATTTCGCATGTAACATATACATTTTGGATAAATTTGTTAAAAATAATTCCCACAAAATTAACTAAGTTGAAGCAATCCCAGTTAGTT